CAGCACCACTTCCAGTTTTCTGGTGATTAATTATAGGTAAGAGTCTCATGGACATTCATACCTGGGCTGGCTTTGAACCGTGATCCTCAGATTTCAGCCTCCTAAGTAGTTAGGATTACAGGCTTGAGCCACTGGCACCGGCTTCTGTAACTCTTTTCATTATTGTAGAAAGATGGGTACAAATAATCTATATAAGATAGTAAACCCTTGGAGTTGGTCACTACTCAAAAGAAGGGCTAGTGTCCTGACCTTTTAAGTGACAATACAGGGTCAGTGGTGACACCTCCCCTGATAGTGACACAACTCCATTAACTGCCAAGCATGGCTACTCTTACTCCAACAGCATGGACACTGCCCTTTTGTGTAAGATTTGTTTTTTTTTGGTTGGTTATGGGGATTGAATTCAGTGCCTGGGAGCGATACCAGAGCTTTTTTGCTCAAGGCTGGTGCTCTACCACTTTGGTTTTCTGGTAGTCTCATGGACTTTCTGGCTAGGTAGATCTCAGCCTTCTGGCTCATGTGAGATCTTTATGAAGTTCATTCAGTTTCTGCCTCTATGGCCTCTCCATTTTGTGTTAATCTATATTGTCAATTAATATGCTGCATTTCATCCATATCAAGATAATCAACAAACTTGGCCCATCGAGTCCCAGAATTATGCTCCTGCCTTGGGTAAGTTCTGTATAGATGCCATCTATTCACTAGTAGTACCACAAAATATGGGTACTAACCATGCGTACTATCTTTCAAAGGGGTATGAGTGGTAACTTAGTTTCATTGTGCACACCTTCTTAGCCATTGTTAGAATCCTATATGTATTTACTCCTAATGTGCACACCTTCTTAGCCATTGTTAGAATCCTATATGTATTTACTCCTAATAGAATGCTGACATAATGTGATTGTTTCTAACATCACTGACATGCCATTTGTGTTTTGCAGTTAAGTTGTAGAGAGATTTGTTTATTTATCTATATTAAATTTTTGGTCAGCTGTGGGACTTGAATTTAGAGCCTAGGCACTGCTCCTGAGCTCTTTTGCTGAAAGCTAGTGCTCTACCACTTGAGCCACAGGTCCACTTCTGGCTTTCCAGTGGTTAGTTAGAGATAAGAATCTTTTGAACTTTCCTATCCAGATGGCTTTGAACTGCAATTCTCAGATTTCAACCTCCAGAGTAACTAGGATTACAGGGGTGAGCCACTAGTGCCTGGCTCAGTTTTATTCTTTTAAATGGCTTCATTGTGTAGCTTAAGATTTCCCAATATGAACATTTGGACTATGACAAACAGTAAAACATGTTTTTATACATGTTGTCTATAAGGGGGGGGGGTGGCCCTAGCGCTTGAACTCAGGGCCTGGGCATTATCCCTAAGCTTTTTGCTCAAGGCTGGTGTTTTACCACTTGAGCTACTGCTCCCCTTCTGGCTTTTTGGATACTTACTTGGATAGAAGAGTTTCACAGCCATTCCTGCCCAGCCTGGCTTTGTACTGCCATCTTAAGATCTCAGCTTCCTGAGTAGTTAGGATTACAGTTGTGAGCTATTGGTGCTCTGGTTTCTCTCTCTCTCTCTCTCTCTCTCTCTCTCTCTCCCTTTCTCCCTCTCCCTCTCCTTCCTCCCCCTCCCCCTCTCCCTCTATAGGAAGAATAGAAACATAGTTGCCCAAAAAACATACTTTGCATATATAAAAGACAAAGTCAAGTTAATTTCTAAAATTCATATTGATTTATTCTCTCATCAGCAACATGAATGTTGGCCTCTATCCCTGGGCAGTATTGAAGAGAGTATCTTCAATAAGGGATAATTATGAAGTTTTAACTGTGAAGAGCTTGATTATGTTTAGTATATTTATTGATAATTTGTTACTGTTCCTTGTTTATGTTCTTTATCCATTTTTTGTAAATGGCATTGGTTTTTATATGTTTTGGCAGGACTTGGCCCTGTGTTTGTGTCTTTGGAGGTGGCATGTGGTAAGTTTTTCTTATGCTTTCTTTTGTAATCAGAAGTGTAACATATGGTGCTTAAGTATGGAATTGGTAGAGATCTTAATTGTCCTACTAAAGAGATGGGCCTCGTGGTTAGAGTTGAAATATCTATAAAGTTGGGGAAAATGGAAAAATGGAATGTATAGGTTATGAACATATCTGTATACAACTATGAAGTACAAATGAAAAACCATAGTGTAGATTAGAGTCATGCTCTTGACTAACAGCTACTTAGGCTACGACCTGGAGCATTGCTGAAAAGACCATAGACTCTTTATCTCCAACTACGAAGCAAAAAGCCAGACTTGGAAGCATGACTCAAGTGGTAGAGACCATTCATGAGCAAGCAAGGTGAACAAGCTTGAGGTCGAAGTCTCAGTACTAGGGGTGGTGGGAAATTATAACTTAATGAGTTATTTTAAGACAAATATGCCTACAGCCATTACACATGTGATCAAGAGTTAGAACCTTGACTGGCATCCAGAAACTATTTGAATCTTCCTCCCAGTTATAGTCTTCCTAACCTCTAAAATACTTGTCCTGACCTATCATTAACAGTTTTCTTTTTGCCTTGTGCTTGCTAGTCAAGTACTCTACTACTTGTGCCTCAGATTTCAATTTCTGTGTTTTTAACTTGTTTTTTTCAGATAAGGTCTCTTGACAACTTCTGCCTTGGCTGGCTGGCTTTGAACTCTGGGGTCCTGATTACCCACTGCACCACCACGCCCAGCTTGTTTTTGAGACAGGGTCTTGCTATCTTTTTCTTAGGTGGGCCTTGTCTGTAATCTTCCTGTCTCCACTTCCTGAACAGCTGGGATTATAGGCATGAGCCAGATGCTTAGCAAGTTGATAGATCTTTTAAATTTCTTTTTTTTGTTGTTGTTGGTCATGAGGCTTGAACTCTGGGCCTGGGCGCTGTCCCTCAGCTCTTCAGCTCAAGGCTAGCACTCTTACCACTTGAGCCACAGTGCCACTTCTGGTTTTCTGGTGGTTTCTTTTTTTTTTTTTTTTTTGGGTCCGGTTGTGGGGCCTGAACTCTGGGCCTGGGCGCTGTCCCTCAGTTCTTCAGCTCAAGGATAGCGCTCTACTACTTGAGCCACAGCGCCACTTCTGGCTTTTTTCTTATGTGGTGCTGAGGAATCGAACTCAGGGCCTCAGGCATGCAAGGCAAGCGCTCTACCACTGAGCCACCTTCCCAGCCCCTTCTGGTGGTTTCTTGAAGATTAGAATCTCACAGTTTCCTACCTAGTCTGGCTTTGAACCGTGATCCTCAGATCTCAGCCTCCTAAGTAAGGAGGCTGAAATCCTTCTAAGGATTTCAGGGGTGAGCCACCTCTTTTCAATTTCTTTTAATCTAGGTTTCCCCCCGAATCTTTATATTATTTTTCCCTTGGGAAATACTCAAGGTATGTAAAGTTGATGCAATTGGACCTCAGTCCTTGGAGTTTTCCAAAATTTAGATTTGTATGCTTTTTTTGATGTTTATTATGCTTTTTTTGATGTTTATTTCCCAAGTATTGGTAGTTGGCTCTAGAAGCTTAGAACCAGGTTTCTGTGCGCAGGCAGTACTACTAAGTGATATTGTGTGCTTCCATTAGGGAGCATAGACTGCCTCTCTCTCCTTTTGTGATGTTAGTTGCCTTGCTATTGAAATCTCAAATGCTATGATTTTTTGAGGTTGTAGAGTGTGAGTTTCTTATTTCTTTTTTATAAAAAGTTTATAAAAAGTTTTATAAAAAGTTTATAAAAAGAAATTCTATTATATCTACGTTGCCTGGGAGTATAGTTCATACAGAAAAGGTAGGAGGAAAGCCGGGCGCTGGTGGCTCACGCCTGTAATTCTAGCTACTCAGGAGGCTGAGATCTGAGGATCGCGGTTCAAAGCCAGCCCAGGCAGGAGAGACCGAGAGACCGTGGCGTGGCGCTGTAGCTCAAGTGGTAGAGGGCTCGCCTCGAGCTGAAGAGCTGAGGGACAGTGCCCAGGCCCAGAGTTCAAGCCCCACGGCCGACCAAAAAAAAAAAGAAAAGGTAGGAGGATATCTTAAGTTTACTTGTCAATTTTTAGAGTTCTGGCATCCTCCAACAAACTTATAGGAACAAGCTGTTTGTTTGCTTGTTTGCCTTATCTATAATTGATACATGAATTTTGTATATATTTTGGAGTATTATGTGATGTTTTGATCTGTGTATACAGTATAGGAAGAAGCTAATTAACTTTTAATAAGATTTAACATAAATTATCTTCTGTCTGTCACTCCCCCCCCCTCCCCCCCCCAGGACTCTTAACTCAGTTTCGACACTTTTGCTCATTGGCTGGCACTCTTAACCACCTGAGTACGCCTCCAGCCCCCTGTACTTTTGTTTTTTTCAGGCTCATATTTTAAGGCCTGGTTGGCAACCGTGGTGCTAATTAGGAGCTGGGAAGGAGAGTAGATATCTAAGAAGAACTTAAAGTAGTCATTACGAAAAATGAGAAATGATTAACAAGGAAACAGTGCTGAGGAGCATAGAGAGTCCCGGTGAAGCTAGAAACCATGCATTTTTTAATGTTTTTCTGTGAGATTGTCCACTTTTCTTTTGGTCATGGGGCTTGAACTTAGGGCCTGTAAGTTGTCTCTGAGCTCTTTTGCTCAAGTACTCTACCACTTTGAGCCACAGCTCAAAGTTTTCTGGTGGTTAATTGAGATGAATCTAATGGACTTTTCTGTCTGGGATGGTTTTGTACCACAATCTGAGCTCTCAGCCTCCTGAGTGGCTAGGATTTTAGGCATGAGCCACCTGCACCCGGCAATTGTGGGATTTTTGTTTAAGGAATCAGTGTATAGAGGCTGGATATTGGAAAGATAGACTATGGGGACCAAAGGCTCTGTGAGACATTGTAGCCGTGGAAGAGAACAGCTGTCCTGAGTTCTCTTGCCTTTGTACCTCTCCCTTACAAATCATTAGGTAACAGGACATTTTTTTTTGTGTGTGTGTGCCTTGATATTACTCCATAAATACAGAACAGTGAAAAAAGCCAAGTAGTAAGGAGTGTTTATTTTTAAAATTACTTAAAAAATTGTTTACAGAGATGTGGATTTACATAACTTGGCAACAACCTCTTAAAAATGTACAGACTATTTCATTATTGCACTTACTCTTTAATATATAAGGCATTTATTTTACATAAATAAAGGATAATGTATAATATTGTACAACAGATGTGCCAATTAAGTCAACCATACAATGCAATGAGATGTGTGTTAGGATGAAAAGGGAACCCAATCTACTACTTCAGCCTTCACGGTATTTTCTTGCAACTACGATGTACATGTTATAACACATATTTACTGTCATAGCTTAACGGTGAATGACTGACTAGTTTTAAAAAAACAAAACAAAGAAAATTTTAGTAGGACAATACCATTAGTGTTCAAGTCAAGAAGTGTGGGCATTTATTAGACTAATTAGAAATACTAGTCATGCTTTGAACGCTGAAGACAAATAAATAGCTTTCTATCTCAGTGTCAGACAGTTTAGCTTTTGCTTCTTCCTTTAACTTCCTACTGTTGACTACAGAATCCTTCTGGCAAGATCTAGGAGAAATGGCTGATGACTTTAAGACAGTGTGGTAAGCCAGAGGTCCACCCTTGAGTTCTTGAGATGAAGATTAAGGACTATCAGAAGGAACCCTTTCATTGCCCCACATTGCTCTCTCCCTACATAGGACTGTGTGTTTCTTAACAGGCACAGCTTGAAGAGTGGAGGCAAAAAAAAAAATGTTTTCAGTGTTGATTCCAAGTAGTCTCTTATCATATAGGCAAGAAAGCAGAAACCATAACACTGTCCCCAGAGACTTAAAGAAAATCTAGCATGCACCTTGCACTGACTTCTTACACTATTCTAACTGCAATGAAAAGTAGAAGCTAAAGCAGATTTTTCTAGCTAACCCCTGTCCTATGTTTTCCTTTGTATAATCTCTTGAGAATGAGCCAGGTAATGATTCCCATCTGAGGGAGCTGACTCCTGATGGCTGGCGGGATTGCTCAGAAAAATGACAAAGGCAACAGCTTGGGCACCTACATGAGCTCAGTAGTAGGTTGTTTAAAGAAGTTGCCAACATAAAATATTGTCATGCACGCAAGTGTGACAAGTGCAGTCTCTGTCCGTATTCCCAGGACTTGACGGGCTGGACTGCGCTGCCTGAGGATGTGGGTTCAGTACTTAACCCACTCATCCACCTTGACAGTTTCTCACCCTGTTTTTCCATTTTCCTCCTGGTGACATTTTGGTAAAAGAAGCTGATAGGGGCTTTGGAATTTGAGAAAAGAAAATACAGTACGAGGGCAGAAAAGCCAACTTTGTGACAAGGGATGGCATGTCGAATGGGAATGCTTTGCAGCAGCGCATGGCAGCTGGGGACCTGACACAAGCAGCATGCGGCAGCAATTGTCTTACAGGCTGACGCTTTTTGGCAAAACGTTTAGAAGAGTTTACAAAGCAAGAAAACAGCAAGAACTTCAATCACTGTAGGGCGCTGCCATTTAACAGGATCAAATGAAGACCCATTGCTTAGAAATGCTACATTTCATCAGTGTGTTGGGAAATAGGAGGAAACCAACCCAACCAACAAAAATCTCTGGGAGGATTCCTTTAAGTGCCTCTGGACTACGTTTATAAATCCAAGTACACTAAGGTACTTAATTTCTAAAAACTTAAGTTAGTGGCTGGAGTGCATGACATGTAGACATGGGAAACCCAGTGATTTGCTAATTTTGCTTGCTCTTTGTTGATCAGCCTGGAATTGAATCATTTACTCAAGGCAAGTTTGAAAACTAGATGCAAGGTGCTTTCAGATAAGGAACTTCTACTCCTGCTAAGCAGCAAAGCCCACAGCTATTTAATACAGTTGATTGAATAGTTATTCTGTAAAACATCCTCGTGACTTAAACTGATAGAAATAGAAAATGATTGATATTTCTTAGATTGAGTTGAACTCTGCATCTATACATTATACTCATTAAAAAATACTTTCTGAATTTTGCTTTTTTATTTTTGGGATAATTCCTGAGCTCAGCCTAATAATTAGGACATAATTATTTTTATCTTAAAGTCTTATTTTCTTTTCAGGGTAACATATATAGACCTACAGCTCTCTTCTTCCATTGAATATGCCTAAAAGCACTGTGTCATTTAGTTACAAAATTATATAAAACTAGATAAGTCTTTTAACTGTGACATTCTGTCACCCCTCCAGTTCCTACTCACCAAGTACTGTATATTGGGAGAGGTGCCAAGAGGGATATGAAGGTGTGTAGCTAGGTGTTTCAGATGAAGAAGTGCAAAGTCACCTCTTGTGTCCCTGCTGCAAATATAAGGGGCTGGCACTGGAGCACACTGACCACCAGCTGAGATGTCCAGGTGGAGGTCCTCAAGAGTTCAGCCTCATTGCTGCCAGGACACAATAGGTTAGGCTTCAGGTGTACGTACAAGTGAAGATTGTTACAGTCCTCTTTACCATTGTCTATTGTTTCAAGAACCTATCACTTGAAGTCATTCTGATTTGCTAGAAGACAAGAACTGAGGAAAGGAGATGCTCAGTGAAATTCACGAAGAGTTCCTGTGCTTCCTAATTACTAATTGCACAGGCCCTTCTGGAACAGACTTCATGATATTCCAGGCATCGAAGTGCATGAGCCCAACAAGGGGTTTTCCATTAATAGCAAGGATTTCATCTCCAGCTTCAATTGTTCCCGCTCTCTCAGCTGCACCACCTGTGAGATCAAATACAAAATAAGGGCATGGCTCCTACACAGAATAAATCCAAGAAAACTGGAAATCTAAATGAGAAGTACAGATTGCATAAACAGACGTATAAAAACAAGTTGAGCTACACAAAAATACTCCACTGTGTCCCTGTAGTTACACAACAAATACCAACCACCCAGGGGAAGATACTTGTAATATATGAACAAAGAGTTAATTTGCAGACTAAAAGAATAACATTAGGTTGAAGATGTGACTTCAGGGGTAGAGTGCTTGCCTAACAAGCTTGAGACTGAGTTCAAATCCTAGTAAGCACCCCTTCCTTGCCCTAAAAGCCAATATTTCTGGTCCAAGGATTAGGCCAGAGGTTGAAAACAACAAAAAGCTCTGAAATTCAAACCAAAGTGCCTCAAAACCCTAAAAGTTTCAAGTTTCATATTAGGAGGCTCAGGCTATACTGTTGTTTTGTTTTCTGTTTATAGTAAAAGACACAGGAAAATGAAGAGACACCTGTAGGCATTAGTGAGTTGGAGTTACAAGGTAAGAAAATGTCATTGGCCATCTTTCTAAGTGCATTCGATTCACTCCCCTTCAAGAAGATCGAATGTACAATGTACAGGCTTAGGACTGGTGGTCGTGGCTTGTTTTGGTTGCCACTCAGAGCTTTAAATAGCTATTTCCACCCCACCTTACCGGCAGAGCAAGCTCCAAGCCCTTCCATCATGTTATGTCTACTTGCAGTTGTCACAACATCAGGAGGCTGCAGCCCCTTCTTCTGCGTGCGCATGGCACTCCTGGCCTCCATTGCATGCTTTACTTCTTACTGGGGCTTCATTTCCACTTTTGATTGTAAAGTTGTTTTAAAATTCTTCAGTTAAGACAGCAAAAGATATGATTCATTGTTCACATGTTATGGCTGGCTGCAACTGAGAACTGAACTGGAATTGAATGGGACAGGTTCAGGGCAAAGGACCAACAGGGATGGTTTGGGAGGAACTAGGTGGGACTCTTAAAGGTAGTCTTGGTGACAGATTTTTTTTTTTTGGTCCGGTCATGGGCCTGAACTCTGGGCCTGGGTGCTGTCCCTCAGCTCTTCAGCTCAAGGCTAGCGTTCTACCACTTGAGCCACAGCGCCACTTCCAGCTTTTTAAAAAATTTTTTCTGCTTATGTGGTACTGAGGAATCGAACCCAGGGCCTCAAGCATGCAAGGCAAGCACTCTACCACTGAGCCACCTTCCCAGCCCGGTGCAATCTTTTTTTTTTTTGGGTCCGGTCGTGGGGCCTGAACTCTGGGCCTGGGTGCTGTCCCTCAGCTCTTCAGCTCAAGGATAGTGCTCTATCACTTGAGCTATAGCACCACTTCTGGCTTTTTTTCTTATGTGGTGCTGGGGAATTGAACCCAGGGCCTCATGCATGGAAGGCAAGCGCTTTACCACTGAGCCATCTTCCCAGCCCCTCTGATCTATTTGTAAGTATAATTATGTGTTAATATTGTATCATTAATTAAAATTGTTTCATTAATACAGCTTAGGAATTTGAAGAGAATTTGAAAACTGCCCAAGATGGTAAAAAGAAATATTTCCCCATCTCAGTGATATCTTACCATTTACTTACTGTCTAGTATTTTAGTTCTGTGAGCGATTGGCTGGTATTGTGTTCCTGACAGCTGACCTGGCAGCATTATTTAGCTTGGTACCTGCTAAATGCCTCCATCCTAGACAGTGTGGGGCTTTTACCTCAGTTCCCTATGCTTGCTAGGAAGGTACTCTACCACCCGAGCCATGCCCTGTAACACACACACTCTTTTTAACTCGTTATTTTTCAGATAGGGTTGCTGACACTTTGCTTGGGCTGGCCTTGGCCTGTGATCCTCCTGACTGCCTCCCATAGTTAGGATATATCATGCTGCTTGACCATAATGTGGGTGGGTTTTTTTCTTTTTTTTCTTGGCACTGGGGCTTGAAATTGGGGCCTTCAGTTTGCTTGCACTGCTGGCACTGTGCCACTCAAGCCACATCTTCAACCTTTTTTTCTGCTGTTTATTTCGGAGATGGAGTCCCACAGACTTTTTTCTGCCTGGGCTGGCTTTGGGCTATGTGATAAGTGCAAAACACTGCAGGTCTAACATGGAATAAACTTTGATGTCATAAAGCATTAAAAGCACTTTAGAATTTTAAAAAGCTTGATTTCCAAACAGAAAACATCGATGTTTCATGGCGGTACAAGTGGAAAGAAGACAGGTAGTAAGAAGCTGACTGAATTTTTGGGGACTTTACCTTTGTACACCCTTTTAATGACCAGCGGCCCATCTCCAGACACAGATGATTTTCCTCCATCCAGACTCAATCCCAGCCCAGCGGCTGTCTTCAGCATCTCCACACACACAGCGTCGTGAGCAGCTCCGCTTCTCCCTTTCGTCAAGATGGAAATGACAAGGCTGCTAGCACATGGCTCACCTGTCCCAGGTCCCCCAGAGGCAGTATCTCCAGCCCCCACAGATTGCTTGCGGCCTGAAGTGTTTACTGTGGCCTTTGAGGCCAGCATGACGGTTGGTCTCCCAGGATGGAGCCGCCTGCCTGGCAGTGCTCCAGCTGCCTGGGCACCCTCTGCATTCCATGCGTTTCTGCAGGTGTGGAGGTAAGGAGAATGTGGCTAGGCCCAGACGGAAATCCTCAGGAGACAGGCGGCCCTTGTCAAGCCCTCTAGCAACACATATCCCAGGGAGGATGAAAGTCACAGCAGGAAATCAAATCCAATTTCCTGCCAACCCTGGCTGCCATGGCAACTGTGCTACCATCTGTTACTGAAATCCATGGCACCAGAGTGCCCAGCTTCACAGTTGTCCTGGAAGCTCCCTGGAACTGGTGCACTGCCTTCCTTACCCTGTGCCCCAAGTGCTTCTGGGAGAAGTCAAAACCCAGCCTTAGGGCCTGGCTGCCCTGGTGGGGAGAAGCGTTGCCATGGTGATGCCTGCTCCATGGCAAGGAACAAACTGTGCTTGTTTGGAGAGCCCAGGCTGGAGTCTGTAGGAATGGTAAATTTGCCAAGTGCTAGCCAAGCCGAGGATGTGGGGAGTGGTATGGGAAGGCACACTTAGTTGCTCGGGAGGCAGTGGAAGGATAAAGGAATTAATACTGCTCCCTTCATTTGTTCATTAGGCTGAGGACGGAGCCAACATTCCTGCCTCAGACTATAAAGGCCAGGCCTTTACTTTGGTTTAAAGAAAGCCAGCCCACGTGCTCTGAAGGGCATTTCCTAACACTGAGGGTGGCAGGATTGTTCAGTAGGTGACTTGCTTAAAGGATGCCTGGCACAGCGCTCTTAATGCCAGCTCCCACATGGCATCCAGGGACATTCCTGTTCTGTTTCTGGTTGAATTGCGCAGGGGAATTCTTTGGGCAGGAGGATTTTAAAAAGCCTCTGGCTGGGCGCTGGTGACTCACACCTGTAATCCTAGCTACTCAGAAGGCTGAGATCTGAGGATCTGGTTCAAAGCCAGCCTGGGCAATTAAGTCCGTGAGACTCTGACCTCCAATTAACCACCAGAAAACTGGAAGTGGTGCTGTGGCTCAAGTGGTAGAGCGCTAGCCTTGAGCTGAAGAGCTGAGGGACAGCGCCCAGGCCCAGAGTTTAAGCCCCATGACCACCACCAACAAAAAGCCTGTTCCTGTCTTCCGTGTCAGCCGCAAGTCGGATGTGCTGACGCGTAGGGGAAGGAATAAGTTCAGAGCTCCCGGAGTCCCTAAAGAAAAGAAATAGGTGAAAACGAAGCTACCATGGTACTTAGGGGTATGAGGGGCCACAGAACCACTTTATGATCACAGATGACGGAGGACAGACAGCCTTCTGTTTGTTTTTGGTCCGTGGTGGGGCTTGAACTAGGCTTGGTCACTGTCCCTGAGCTCTTCAGCACAAGGCGAGCGCTCTACCACCGCTTGAGCTGCAGTGCCACTTCCGGTTTTCTAATGGTTTATTGGAGATAAGAGTCTCATGGACTTTTCTGCCCGGGCTTTGATCGAGATCCTCAGATCTCAGCCTCCTGAGGAGGATTATAGGCGTGAGCCACCGGTGCCAGGCTCAGACAGCCTTCTGTATCTGACATCAAGAAGCTCGAGGCTCTGTGAGCTGATGGGATCCACGCTAAGTAATTCCTTTGCCAGGCATACTTCCCACAGTTCCATTAAAAGGTATGCCAAGGAGCTGAGGTGGTGTTTGGACAGGGGAATGTGACAGTGTGGTGATTTAAAGGAAATGACCTTGCAGAGCTGAAGGACACCCAGGCCACAGTGCAGGTGTGTGGACAAGGAGGGGTTGTGGCGCTCAGCAGCTGCAGTGTGGGCCACCATGGAAGCACCCTCTCTCCCTCCCTCCCTCCCTCCCTCCCTCCCCTCCCTGCCCAGCCTGAACTTGTGTAGTCTGGAGTCCCTGACAGGATGTCCACAGACTTGTGTGGAACTAGTGTGCTGTGTGTAGAGGCTGGCTCGGAGTGGAACTTTGTGGAAACTTCATGGGAAATGTGATTCTGAACCCCTTCTCAATGGATGAAGGCTGCAGTCTGATTAAAAACACAAACACCTTCGCTCTCCATTCCTTATGTCTCCAAAAACAGGAGAGATGACCTCCCTTAGGCTCCCAAGGACAAGGCTCATTCTCCTTCAATGTGGATCCTTCTATCACAAGAGCTCCTTATGTTACTGGGCAGCCAGGAAGTCTCAGCAAGAGGCTACAACTGTGAAAGACACTTCCTTCTTAGCCCTCATTTGAAATCTTCAACAGTGGCTTTACCAGGATTTAAAAAAAAAATGCTTGCTTTGTGTTTTTCAAGAAGCCTCTAAAAAAACCCACCAGATTTCCTTTTTTTAAAATTATTTTCTGAGTCAAGAATTAAGCCATTATTTTACGTCCGCGTGGGATGGATTCTGCCAGCTAAGCATCCTTACCATTTCCAGGATCCAGCATGGTATGCTTTCCGGGCAGCGTGCCCTTCCCATTGGCCAGAGGCAGCTCCTGCTTGGGGGTGGGCCTGGGCTGCTCATTCCCCTTCCTGATGACCATGAGTGCACTTTTGTGCAGCTGGGCCTCATGCAGAGCCTTTAAGACATCTTCCTGGGCTAAACCAGCCAGCCAGGAGCCATTGATGGAGAGAAGGTAATCACCTCGGTTCACAGTCCCTTCCTGAGAAGCTGCCCCCTGAGAAAACACCCTGTGGACCTGAGACAGAGCAAGGAAAAGGGGACAAAAGCCAAATCCACTTAGGACCTTTGTGATATCAAGAGTAAGTAACTCTGTAGTAAAGACTTCCTCATGGAACCTTTTCTAATTCACACAAGCACTTAATTTAGTGTGTATGTGTGTAGAATCTAAATGTCAGCACTAGTATCTGCTTCTGTTTTTACTCAACACTTTTTTGTTTGTTGCTGACTCACTGAAAGTCTCTCAGAGTTTTCTACTCAAGCTATCTCTGAACTGTGATTCTCCAGATCTCAGTCTCCTGAGTAGATGAGATTATAGGCCAGGGTGCCCAGCTTGTTGTTTTTTTTTTTTTATTCAGCTTTTTGTTAGTATGTAATACATACCTGGCAACCACTGGGCACAAGGACTACAAGACAATGGAACCAGGCTGGTCCAGTGGGTGTGGTGCAACAATGATCTCTGTAGCTTTGAATGATGCACAGTTTACGTTACTGTTCTTGAGGAAGACGTAATTTTATAAGCAAATAGGAATTTGCTCCGTTGAGTCTCACGTTCCCCCCCCCCCCCCCCCCAGTGGTTATATAAGATTTAGGCAAATTAGAAGGATGTAGATAACTGTATTATGTCTTGGCCTCTGGCCTACACATCAGCTAGGTGTTGTCAATGAAAAAAGGGAATGTTGGAGCAGGGAACAGAACTCAGTGGTCTCTAAATGCTCTAATTGCAGTTTGTGTCCTGGTGGAAGCCTGTGGCTGTTTTAAGGAGTGATTTCCAGAGAGCCTCAGGACACTGTCACTCACCATGATTGGTTTCCGCTCCACCTCTGTCCCTCCTGCCACACTGAATCCCAGTCCTGAGCCTTCTTTTTTATTCAAGACTACAAAGAAAATATCTTCTTTGTCCTGAAGAAGAGAAAGAGAACAACAAGAAAAAAAATGAAGTTACTTGTGCTGGGAGTGAGAAGAGCTGACTTAAATCCTCTCCTAGGTGCTTGATGAGGAGCACAGGATTGTCAGCTGTCACAGAAGTGTGGGAGGAGTCTCTGCCTCAGGTCTGCAAGGTGAACAGGAACAGGGACAGCACCAAGGACCTGTTAAAAATCCGTAAGCCTCCCAAGATCTATTTGTGGCAGCGGATTCCATCTTCCCTCAGCTGACCAGAGCTCATTATTTTACTATGAAGAGAATTCTTTCTCCTGTAGTTCTGTGTGTCTTCTGTTGAGTGAAGTCAGCTTCATTAGCCATACTGCTTTATGCACCCCACTTCTCTTGGGCAGGTGATTCATCAAATAGGAAGTATGTGAAAACTAATGGTAAACTTATACTGGAAAAACAACATACCAAGACTAGAGCATTCTTAGAAATATCCTAGAGAGAAGTAACAGCAGAGTGTTTTAAGCATCAATCAAAAAGTATCTTAGAATAAAAGAATTAGCTGGGCTAATCTGAATTTTGACTTCTTTTGTCCATGTATATGACTCAACTATGTATTATATATACACATATATGTATGGTGGTTCTGGGGTTGAACTCAGGCTTTGCATTTTCTAGGCAAGTACTTTATACCACTTGAGCCATATCCTCAGTTCATTTTTGCTTCAGTTATTTCTCAGACAAGGTATTGTGGTTTTGCCTGGGGTGGCCTCAGACTGTGGTCCTAATGCCACCTGTGTAACCTGTAATCACAGGCCTGGTTTATTGACTGAAATGAGGGCCTCACTGTCTTTTGCTCTGGTTTGCCTTTAACCACGATTCTCCTTATTTCCTTCTCCCTACTAACTGGAATTAGAGGCATGAGCCACTGCATCTGACACATCAGCTGGACATTTTAAAGCCAAGGAACTGTGAGTTTCCACATGAAGTGACTGACAGTCCCTCACATGGCAATGGAAGATTATAATAAATATTGTAAGAATAAATAATAAAGATTGCCTTGTTAAGACAAAACAGAGGGAAAACCCACCCCTGTCTCTGCAGGGAAGAGAGTTCAGCATATGAAAGTGTTTGGTCCTAAACCAGGTGCCGGTGGCTCAGGCCTGTAATCCTAGCTACTTAGGAGGCTGAGATCTGAGGATCGTGGTTTGAAGCCAGTCCGGGCAGAAATGTCCGTGAGACTCCTATCTCCCATTAACCACTAGAAAACCAGAAGTGGTGCTGTAGCTCAAGTGGTAGAGTGTTAGCCTTGAGTTGAAGAGCTCAGGGACAGCACCCAGGCCCAGAGTTCAAGCCCCAGGACTGACAAAGAAAAAAAAAGTGTTTAGTTCTGTAAGTTACAGGACTTTACAAATCTCTAGATATGAGGTGTGCTTTCCTTTTGTTATTCACCGTCACATCTGATCTTTATAAAGCTCTTATTTGTAATGAGCACTTTACACCTCCTCTAAAGAGTTCATTCAAACCAAAGCCCCCTGTGTGGACAGACTGTCCTTCGGATAGGATGATGCTGCCAGGGGCATCTCCAGCCATCCCTGTACGAGGCTCAGCCACAAGTTGGGCAGGACTGGGCTTTCCCAGAACCAGGACCGTCCTGCAGCCTCTGGTAAGTGAGGTTTCATGCTACACCATGAACACATCTCAGACCTTTAGATGTTTATCGAGTAAACAGAATATTAGAAGATGGGAAAGTTTTGTTTTTGGGGTGTTTGGGGAAACATGCGCTAGCAACTGACCGGGTCAGCTGTGTGACAGCTTGGCAGGGCACGGGGGAGCCGGAAGTACAGTCAGCACGCTCCCCAGGGCTGTGCCGTGGCCAGAAAAACCTGGGTACACTCATCGTTCACCACCACAAAAAGAAGGCTGGGGGGCAGTCAGGCTGTGCAGTTCTGCTTTTAGCATCTGCAAGCTAGACTCACTGGCAAGAAAAAGTGGGGCAGAAGCAAGGTGCTGCTATAAAGATGGCAGGAAGGGGGGGGGGGTTGGGGTTGTGTGCTTGCTGTGCTTCTGTGAATCAGGAAGCGGAAAAGCAAGCTGCGTTCTGGTGGGAGCCAGGAGGAGCTGCAACATCCAACTGCACCTCCTGGGGAATACCAAACCTTCAAGCCTCCCCTGGTGAGGGAGGCCCAGAGCGGCCCCTAAGCACAGCACTTGGCATCTTGGCTACATAAAAACATGGCCACTTTGTACCTAGTTCCTGAGAACGTCTATCACCTCCGGAGGGTGCTTGAGACTTTCTAGTTTTCTCCATCTGCATGTTAGGCAATACTGTCACACATTTGGAGCAAAGGGGCCTGGTAGTATGGCAGCCCCACACACCAGAATTCTCTCAGGAAATGTTTATTGTATGGAAGAAACAGGAGGAAGGAGGAAGGTGATGGAATAGCACCTTTTACAGAGAGTGCTTTGTTGTTGTTGTTGTCCAGAACAAAGATTTGAACCCAGGACTTCAGCTTGCTAGGGAATCACTAGACTACTGCAGCCATGTCCCCAGCACTTGAGCTGGAACCAGTGGGCCTGGGATCAGAAGGGAGTGAAAGCTAAAGGATCTCGGTCTCCTTTATTCTCCCCTAAATCCTCAAACTCTGGCCAACTTAGTAGATTCTAAGACTGCGCCTGAGAAGCCCTATCACCTTGAGGGTAATTTCTGGAATACTGCCCATGGATGATGTTAGTCACCCAAGATTTATTAGTAAGGAATACCGGTTTTATTTTTTTTCTATGTCCATCTGCTGTGGTTTAGATCTCTATGAATGTTCCTGAGAAATGATCTTCAGAGAAACTCTCTAGATATGAGTTGTGCTTTCCTTTTGTTATTCACCATCACATATGGTTTTTATAAAGTTCTTATTTGTAATTACTAATAAGCTTTGTCTTGTACCCTGGGCTTTAAGAGCTCTTTTTTTTTTTAAAGCCATTATACGCATTATTATCCATTTGTAAAACTACTTTTTATAAACAATGTCCATTTCTCTATTACAGTGTTTCATTATCACTATGATAGAACATTCTTAAAAATTAACAGCAGGCCGGGTGCTGGTGGCTCACACCCGATAATCCTAGCTATTCAGGAGGCTGAGATCTGAGGATGGTTCAAAGCCAGCCTGGGCAGGAAAGTTTGTGAGACAGACTTGAATTCTGGGCTTGGGCGCTGTCCTTGCCAGCGCCCTACTGCTTGAGCCACAGCACCACTTCTGGTTTTCTGGTGGTTAATTACTGGAGATGAGTCTCATGGACTTTCCTGCCCGGGCTGGCTTTGAACCTTGATCCTCACATCTCAGCCTCCTGAGTAGCTAGGATGACAGGCGTGAGCCACCGGCGCCTGGCTAAAATTACTCCACCTATCATGGCTCCTTTTTTGAAAAAAAAAATTTTTTTTTGGTTCCTTGAATCATGAAGTTAAAGATGCTCTCATGAAAAAACAATTGTGTTAGGAGCTCTTATCAATCCCAGAGCATCAGTTCATGGAACTCTTTCTCCACTAGGTGGCCCTCCTCACTAGCTGATATCTTCTTAAGTAGACGGGTGTACTTGTTCCTTCACCAACATTTCTTCTGCTCAGAGGACACTCTGTAGACAAACTCCAAACAGGGAGGTGGGAAGGAAGGATGGGGACTAGATGCTATTGGGGGATTAAAATGTTAGTGACATTAACTTAAATTGACATGGCAATGTCTAGCTTCTGAAGCCAGCGGGCAGTACCCAAAGCTGCATTTGAGCCAGAGCTATAAAAACCCCACCCCACGGCAGCCTTCCAGGGTGTGGGGAGCACACGCTCTCGATGGCCGAGCTGCTGGGTGGCACCTGGAGCCAGTACTGCCAGCGCTGCTGCCTCTTCCTGGGTTTTCCGAGTTTCACTCACCTCTGATTGTGCTTTCGCTTCTTGAATGAGATTTGGGATGGTGGATGTAGACCCCACTGCCGATAAAACTGCTTGCAATCTCTGATGGTCTCCCTCAGAGGTGAGAAGTTGATCCAAACTAAATAACAAACACATTTGAAGACTATGAAAGAGAAAAGTTACTGCTCCATTTTATAAGGATGCATTTGTATTTCTGATCGTGCTTTCTATGGGGCCTAACTCATTTCCAACCGATGGAAGAACCCTGTGTACCCAACAGAATGCCTTTCTCTCATGGCGGTAGTCATGAGGATCTTTTCAAGGCCAGCGTGGGAGTCTAATACACATTTCCAACAGAGCATTTAGAAGTAGTATATAGGCTCAAGACTGTCTGTGTGTGTGTGTGTGTGTGTGTGTACACACCAGTCTTGAGGCCTGCCTCCCACAAGGCTAGCACTCTCTGACTTAAGCCACCATGCAACTTCCTGGTTTCTTTTGTTTTTGGTGGAGATAAGAGTCGAATGGGCTCTGGTCTGGCTTTGAACTGCAATACTCAGATCTCGGTGTCTTGAGTAGTTAGGATTATAGAAGTGAAACATCTCAAATATTCTAGAAGTCCCCTCATTTAACTCTGGTCATTTTCAAAGGCCCATGCTCTTCTGAGGGACAATCTCCTCCTCTTCCTTTCCACCTCCCTTGTTCTTGCTGAATGCCCCGTCCTGTAGAAGGTGCTCCTCAGAGCCACATACTGGCAAGCTTTTCCCTGCCTGGCATTTTTGTCCTTACAGTCATGATACTGAAAACAAGAGGGAGCTAAATGCAATGTGGTATCTGGGTTGAACCCTGGAGTTTCTACTGCTACTGATAACATTATTAGAATGCATTCAGCAAGATCTGAACAGGCTATAGTTTAGTTGACAGGATGGTGCAACATTAATTTCTTCCTTTCGGCAAATGGGCCTTTGTTACAGGAGGTGATCACATCAGGCTGATAATGTTAGGTGATAATGTTACAGCTTGAGAGCGATGTGGGAGGTCTTGGTACTATGGTTCTCACTTTTCTGAGCCTAAAGCAGCTACAAAACAAAGCAAGCTGATTTGACATACAATGGGAGGCAGATGCTTACCTAACTGACCAGCTTTTTCCCAACGACAGGTCCTGGCCGGGCTCCCTTCCTTCACTGGCCACAGGAGGCGCTGTGGTCGCGCTGGACGTTGGGCAGCTTCTTGCTGGGCAGGTGGTGGTAGCTGATGCATTGAGGCCCGTCAGGCCTCCAGGAGGGAAGCCAGCCTTGGAGCCCAGAGATCTCCTAGGGATGATCTCCAGCTGGGTTCGGAAGAGCACGGCAGTGGGTCCTGTGGAGTAGTCTTCGCCACTGCAGAGCTTGTCCAGGTCAGGCATGCTTAAGGCTCGTAGCTCCTGCAGCTTTGAGCGGGACACAGGCGAGGGCTGCATGTGGCGCACCGAGGACTTGTTCCTCTTGACCGGAGAGGCCGGCGTTACCGTCGGGGTGGGGATTCCCGAAGGAACGTGTGATCTCTTTGAGTTGGAATCAGGGCCCTTGTTACTGGTCTCGGGCACCGCCGGCCTGGGGATGATCAGCGTCATGCTGGACGGGGACTTGGTCATTTGTGGGACAAGGGTGCCGGCTTCACTCTGGGTTTCACTGCACGAACTCAAGCTGCGTCTCAGCGACCTCGCTGCTGTGTCACTGGGGTGGCCCGGGTTCCCCGAAGCCATACTTCCAGATGACCGCCTGCTAATGGGAGGCTTGGAGCTTACAGATAAGAATGAGGATGCCCCAGATTTGGCGATGGACCGATCAGAATTGGCCAAGTTTTCAAAAGACTTGATCCTCTGCTTCACAGAGAAAAATGAGGTAGATTCGTGGGGCCAGTTCTGCTCGTAGTAGTAATGCCGCCTGCTGACTTTGATTTTGTCTGTGACGGCGGTGACATCCCCTGGGTCCGTCGCTGGGAGGGTCCTCGTGTCCTGGAGAGGCTTCGCACCGTACACACCCTGTCCATTAGCCAGGCCAGGAATACAGCCTTTGGGAGCCTTTGTTTCGCTCACCATGGAGACCAGGCTCTCCTGAGAGGAGTGGCTGGGGCTGTGGGAGGAAGCATTCTCCCGTCCAAAGTGACTTGAGAACTGGGCTGGCATGGAGTACGTCCGGGTGGCTGGCCGTGGTGCAAAGCAGGGGTGCTCTTCCCCATCAGGGCCCGTCACCGGGCCGTTCTTGGATGCCCCGAGGGAGTCTGATGTCTGGCTGGAACCCCTTTGTGTGGAATCTGTCTTTCTTGCAGGCAGTTGTGGGGAGGAGGTCAGTTTGGCCATGCTGATGGACCGTCGCATATCCTGCTGGCCTTGGGGAGCCTGGGGCATGAGGGAGGATGGATAATTGGGGGACAGTGATGCCACTGATGGGTGGGATCTGATCTCACCCTTCTCCTGACAGTTGCTCTGGGCCAAGACCCCTCCCTGTCTGCCACCTTCGGCTGGCTTGTCACCACGCAAGTTCTTCGGCATCCTTTCCGAAGAAACATCCACGATTTTGAGCTGGTTCGTTCTTTCCCAGGGCTCACCGGCAACTCTTTGGCTTTCTTTACCACGGGCCCCTCTCACTTGGGTCTCCTCTAACGTGGCGTCTGCTCGGCTGGGTGTGCGCTGCTCATGCGTCACACTGTGCCTGGATGCCGTGGGACTCATGGGCCCTGCGTCAGCCTGGCGAGCTCGGCCCTCCGGTCCACACCTAGGGGACCTGGGAGTCGGTGGGTAGCCTCGGTCAGATTCCGCGTGGACAGCCACGTGGAATCTACTGCATGAGCCGTGTGCAGGCAGGGACTTGGGGGAGGTCAGGGGTGACGTGGACGTCCTGATGCTGGTATCTGACAAGGAGGCCTTCAGTGACCCACAGACTGCTACGAGTGGCCTGCAATCTGGTACGCACTGGGGGGACGTAGGGCTGTCCCCGGAGCTGCTGTCAGGTTCCTCACGGTCAGCTGCGTGGTACTGGTGGGATACCACCTTAGAGAGCATTTTGTGGGAGGCCTGGGGTGACGTCAGGGATTTCCTGTGGTCTGTCCCACTGACCTTTGCAGAATTTGTAGCCGGGACCTCGGAGCCAACTTTGCTTTTGCTTTTGCTGCTCAGTCTCTTCAGCTTAGGGCCACACTTGGGTTTCTGACCGTTGCTGACGGGTGTTTCCACAGAGCTCTTTTTAGAGGTGTCTTTATTTTCTAGATTCATTTTCAGCAGAGGGGGGCTGTTGGGGATGGCCACCCCCTTTTTGTGGCTTGAATTCAGTATCTGAATTTTGGAGTCAGGACTTCTGGCTGACACTGTGGTGTGTTCCTTCTCAGTTTTGCTCTGCAGTTGGTTATTTTTATTGATTTCTTTAAACCAGGCCATGATAGGCCTCCTGGAGATGGTTTTGGGTTTCTGTAGCAAGTCTCCCAGGTCCTGGCTTTCTGAGAGGTGGAGGTTGGCCACAGTGGACCCTGCATTCTTAGTGACCTGCCCACGGAAGGCGCACAGGGGGTCACTTGTATTGGCATTTGTTTCTTGTTTCTTTGGGGTATCATCTTCCAGTGGGTCCTGTCCTAAACCGTTTACCATGTCGGGGTTGCTGAGGCTGACTGGCGGGGGATGATGAAATCTGGTGATGCCCAAAGTCTGGCTGTGCACCCCAGCAGAGCCAACACTAGTAGTGGCCTCTGCTTCTCCTGTGTACAGTGGCCTGTGGTGCTGTGAACCACACGTGCCGGTGTGAGTTTCATGCTCCAGAGAGCTCTGATGGACGACTGAGAATGTCTGGGGCATGTTTGGGATGCAAGGGTGTGAACCTCGTAGCAGGAAGCAGGCTGTCTCGCAGGGCTTCTCCACAGATTCACTCAGAGCGCTGTGTTTCAATGGCAAAACCTTGGCTAGTGCTGGGCAGGGCAGAGCCTGGCCGCGAGGCTGGGTTGGGTTTATCCCCCTGGGTGTGTTGGGGCAACCACTGGTGGAACAGATTTCGATGTGCTCTTCCTCTGACTCTGTAGTATCTTCCTTGTGAGGAGAGCCGGGTGGACGGGGTGGCGGGCAGCTGTTTCTGGCGGCGGTTTGAGGGGCTTCTTCTGCAAGAGACTCGGGGTCGGAGGAGGAGTCCTCCGCACCGCCGTACATGGAGAGTGACCGCTCTGTGTTGCTCCCCGTGCCTGACAGGGGGGCACTGTCTTCCTGAAAACTGCTCAGATTCCTCGAGTAGTTGCTCAGAGAGGTTTTGTTCACAGCAAAATGTTTGTCAGGATGAATGGAGTCCAAGATGGAAGGCTGGGGGGTCCACTGTGCGGTTGGGGCTGCGTCCACAGCACAGGCCTGCCTGGGAAGGGGTGTGAGGTCCCTGGCCACTGCCGGGGCCTCATGGGAACTGCCCCCTCCGTCTCCTGCTGCCCGCTGGGCCTGAGAACCGCCCTCCAGACCCCGGCAGACCCCTGCCCAAGCACGCTCTGACTCCTCGATGAAGCTGTCGATGTCTGTCACAGTGCTGTCTCCGCACCCAGACGGGCAGCAGTGCCAGGATACGCTGCCACACACATCTCTGGTCCTGTCTGTGGAGGCTGTCGGGGAAGTGCTGGCCTGTGGTGTCCTTGCAGACACAGCGCCCGTGTCCTCTAGCACGGTGATCTCCTGGGGGCTTCTAGCGACACGGACTCCTGGCTTTTCCTGGGCCTTGCTATGGCTCCCTGGAGTTCCTTGACTCCTCTCCTGGGATGGGAGGGGGTCCTGGGGCTGGATGACACTGGCTGGAGTGACCTCCTCCGTACGCTGGCCTGCACCCCTGGGCATGGTGGCCTCCCCCTCAGTGGTGTGGGGTGAGCTGGCTCCAGGTCTTGCCCAAGTCCTGCCCAAGTCAGGGGAATCTGGTGCCTTCTTCTCCTGGGCCATGGTGCCCTCGAGGGTGAGACTCGCTGCAGATCCGGCCTGGAACTTGGGCTCCACTATCCTGGGAGGTGCGGGCTGGCTGGGGCTCAGGGGCCGGGGGCCGGGCCCAGGCCCTGTGGAGGTCTCGCTGCCGTCAGGATGTGTGGTCCCCTTTCTCCCAGGGGAAGCGAGGAGGTCCGGTTTGCTGTCCTGTCCTGAACAGAGAGTAACAAAAGGCAAGGCAGATGAAGGGGACAATTTGAGAAACACAAGCCCTCAAGTTTTAAAAAATGTATCATCTTGTTGGGTGCCGTGTCTCATGTCTGTAATCCTAGCTATTCAGAAGGCTAAGATCTGAGGATCACAGTTTGAAGCCAATCTGGACAAGGAAGCCTGTGAGACTCTTATCTCCAATTAAACACACACACACACACACACACACACACACACACACACACGCAGGAAGTGGAGCTGTGGCTCAAGTGGTAGAGCTCTAGCCTTGAGCACAAAAGTGCAGGGACAGCGTTCAGGCTCTCAGTTCAAGCCTCTGAAATGGAGTGAATACACACACACACACACACACACACACACAGACACACACACACACACACACACACACACACACACACACACACACACACACACTAGTTTTTTTTTTCCAGAAAGGACAGCCTTCATGTAGACTTCATGTAGACTCATTTCTAACCAATACTACCCTGCTTTAACTAGCTAAAGTAAAGCTGGCTGTTGAAGCCTGTTCAGTTTTCAGTGAAGTACAGTTTTTAAAAGAAGTCTTTCACTTCTTAGGTTTCTTTACATGGTCTGCTCTCTAAGGGCAGAAACTGCAGGAAGAGGAGACTGTGGTTCTGATTCCTCACTTTGCTGTGACAAGGGAGAGCTCTCTCAGATCTCTTATCCAGCATCTGGGGGGCTCCCATGAGGGGTTTAGCCTCAGGCTCTACAATGTTGAGTGATTCACTATAGTGTAAAACAGTTTTTGCTTCAAACTTAACAGATTAATTCCTTTTTGAGATAACGTCTCACTATGTATCCCACGCTTGCCCGCAACTCCCATCTTCCTGAGTGCTGGGATTACAGGCATGCACAACCATATCCACTAAGGGGTTTCCTTTGCAGCTAAGGAGATGAGGCCAAGCCGGAGAGATATGCAGGCGGCATCCATGGGTGCATGGAGCTTTAGCTGTGTTTCTACTAGGCTGGGGGAGTGGGAGAGATGGGAGGCTGGGATTTTCCAGCGAGCCATGAGCGAGATGGGGCGGTGGGGGCTGAATGGGACTCTTGGGGGGACGGTTTGTGTCAGAGAAGAGAAAAACGATGAGGAAGACCACAAGAATGAAATCAGAGGCGCTGAAAGCTCAGAAGTGGTAAGATCAGGGGACAGTGGGAGATAGAGTGGCCCATGGAATAGGCCCTCTGTTGTCTTCAGAAAGCCCTCAGGCTCCTGGGCCTACCCCTGGCACCCAGCACCTCCTAAGAGGGCAGAAGGCAAAAAAACCAACACCAGGTCAGCCATGTCCTTAGGGTCTAAGAGCAGAGCATCGAGTGTGGCCAGGATGGCGTGCTCTTGTTTTGACATGAGTCCTACCCCAAACGTCACGTCCATCCCTTCTCTCTCACGTAATGGCATCGTAATGTCCTGCACCTTTTCCTTCTGGAGTTCTCTGTCCATATTTAAGAACTGTTAGGACTTAGCCCCATGCTGAGAGGCTTTCTAGTAATGCAAGGTCAGGACCATGCTGAGAGTTTTCTGCACTTCCTTTTCCTCCCTGCATCGGGCACCAAGCTGTTGAGATCTCTGTGTGGGGAGGGCGAGGGATGGGGGAGAGATGCCCCAGGTCACCATTGGGAAGGGGTGGAGCCAGGAGTCACCCCAGGAAGCTGCTTCCTCAGCCCATGCTCTAAGCAAAAGGGAACTTGGTGGCTCATGTGCCCAGAGTGCAAGGCGATAGATAGGGCTGGGCCTGGCAAGTATCTGCTCAATCCAGGTTGATGGTCTCCTTTGCTCTGCCTTTCCTGAGTCCCCTGTCCTGCTTCTGCTTGCCCAGGGAAAGAGACAAAGAGAGAAAGTGGGCCCCCGGCCAACTACAGTACTGCCCTTGCCCGCCCTGGTACGGGCGCTGCCTGTAGCCCTGGGGCCCCTTGCCCACCCCACTGCGTGTCAGGGCTGTGCGGGGACCCTGCTGTGAGCTTCCAAGCCAAGCGCTTGCTGAAAGGTGATGCCAAGGCTGTCTCATGTAACTTCACCTCCTTCAAATGAACTCTTGGATGGTACATGCTTTGCAGCGAGTCAGACTCCTAACAAGACTTACCTGCTTGAATGTGTGCAGCGAGGGGGTCTGAAACCAAAACCTGTTTTCAATCGTCTCTTCTGTCTCATATATTATATACTATATCTAGGATATATTATATGCATATTGTCTTATACATACATAATATATAACAAAAATATATTACGAATTATATATAATAATAATGTTATTATTCTTAGTAGTAGTAGCGCTGAAACCAAGGCTTGAACTCAAGGCTTCATGCTCTTGATAGAGGTTTTTTGTTCATGCTTGGTGCTCTACCATTGGAGTCATGCCTCAAGTCTAGCTCTTCTGCTCTTAAGCTGGGGACAGTCTCATAGACTTTTGGCTTTGAACCCCGATCCTCAGGTCTCAGCCTCCTGAGTAGGCAGGATTATAGGTGTGAGCCAATGGCTTCTGAGCTTTCATTCTAAGCATGTGTGTTTTTCATTACAGGACTGTTTAAAATATTGTTGGCAAACAAGGGTCCTGCACCCCTTGGACAACCTCTGGAGAAGTCAGACATCTGCACCCGGCTGGGGGGCCGTACACTCTGTGTGAAACAGCAGGTTCATCCTTGTTCCTTTTTTGGTACTAGTACTGGGCCTTGAACTCAAAGCCTGGGGCTATTGCTTAACTTTTTCTGCTCAACGCTGCATTTTTACCTCAAGGCTGTACTTCACCACTTGAGCTACATATACCTACACTTCTGTCATTATGCTGGTTAACTGGAGAGTCTCTTGGATTTGTCTGTTCAGGCTGGGTTCAAAACATGATCTTCAGGAGTCAGCCTCCTGTGTAGCTAGGATTACAGGCTTGAGCCACTGGTGCTCAACCTCATTGACTTCTGACTCATGAGGTCCCCGTGAGATGGGCAGTCTAGGACTTGAGTGAGTTGCCCGGTTACTGCCGTGGTCAAAGTTTAGAACTCAGATCTGAATCCACGCAGCCTATAGATGGTACCCCTGGCACCTCAAGACATGCTATATACACAGTGTTTTCAAAATTTAAAAAGGAAGGTCAAGGGCTGGGAATGTGGCCTAGTATAGAGTGCTTGCCTAGCATGCATGAAGTCCTGGGTTTGATTCCTCAGTACCATATAAACAGAAAAAACTGGAAGTGGTGCTGTGGCTCAAGTGGTAGAGTGCTAGCCTTGAGCAAATGAAACTCAGAGGTAGTGTCCAGGCCCTGAGTTCAAGCCTCAAGACTGGCAAAAAAAAAAAAAAAAAAAAAAAGCCAAATACAGTGGTTTATGCCTGTAATCCTAGCTACTGAGGAGGCAGAGATCGGATCTATGTTAGGAATTAGCAGGATCATGATCCGGGCCTGCCTAGGCAAAAACAGCGAGACCTGATTTCAAAGTAAGAGCAATGGAGCACCTGCCTATCAGGCAGAAGACCCTTAGTGTGATCCCTAGTATTACCAAAAAACAAACAGACTCTTAAAATGCTTAAAGACACTGGCCTGAAAGGGATTCTTTGAGATATGACACTGATAGCTGCTTCTGTGTGACTTTCATATCTTCCTTTTAATTCAACCACTTTGCAATGAAGTCACTTTGCTAATGAGAATCACCTGCTAATGTCAGCCAGTGAGTAAACATGACTCTGAAAGATGGGCAGAAACCATGGTAATCACATCATTGCTGATGGAGGAACAAAGAGCCATGGATCACAAAACACACCAGGGGACTATTTTTTCTGGAAGTAGCCATGAGAACATGGTGATGATCCCCTGGGTTTCCAAGTAATTCCTAGGACACCCCTAATAAGGGTGCCTTCCTCATTTCTTTCTACCTCCACAGTTTGCTGACCAATCAGAAAGAGGGCCTGCAATATGGGAGAACCTGCCAACAGTTGTAGGAGACCGCCCACCTCTCAGCAGTCACGGTGATGGCCAGCTACTGAGAGAAGAGTTCCTTGCCTAAGTACACATTTCAAATAATACAGATTTTCAATCTCTGTTAACAAGGTGACAAGTGACTTCATTCAGATCTTTTTGTAGTAACTGGAGATTGAAACCAGGGCCTCTCAGATGCCAAGAAAGCATGCTACCACTTAAAGCCATGTTACCAAGCCTTTAGCCTGTATTTTGTTGTTGTGATTGGGTCCCGCTATCTTTGGCCTGGGCTAGCCTCAGTTGTGACCTGCCTCTGCCTCGGTATCTGGGATTACAGGTACATACCATTTTGCTCGGCTCACTAATTCATTTTGACAAAAAATCTCAATATGGACAGAATTCCTGCTGTCATTATGTCTCTTTATCTCTTATTAAGAGTTAAAGTTTTCTAATATTAACCTTTTACTTTTCCTTCTGGAGGTTAAAAAAAATTATCATCTTTACAAAGGTGCTGCCATTCAACAAAACACAAGTCTTGATCAATGTCACCTCTTTCAATATTCTCACTCATCCCTCCAGACCTATTCCTTCCCTCACTTTTTTCATGTTGTAGGATATATATTGAATTCTGGACTGCATTCTCTTTTTTCTCTTCCCCTTGACCCCACCCCACCCTTTTTTTTTTTTTTTTGGTCGGTCGTGGGGCTTGAACTCTGGGCCTGGGTGCTGTACCTCAGCTCTTCAGCTCAAGGCGAGCGCTCTACCACTTGAGCTACAACACCACTTCCGTTTTTCTTGGTGGTTTATTGGAGATATGAGTCTCACGGTCTCTCCTGCCCGGGCTGGCTTTGAACCACGATCCTCAGATCTCAGCCTCCTGAGTAGCTAGGATTACAGGCGTGAGCCACCAGCGCCTGGCCCACCCTACCCTTTTCAAGTACCCATTTCCTGGTGTTTATGTTGTTGAACTTAGTCTCTCTAAGAAATGACACTGTTTGAATTCTCCTTTGAATCTACCATATTTCAGTTAATATATTTATATACACTTGCATACCACCCAACATATTTATTCATGTTTATGAATAAATTCTAGCTTCCACAAATGAGAGAAAAGATGCAATCTATCATTTGGGGCCTGACTTATTTCACTTAATGTAATTTTTTTAAGTCCTTCCTTTTTTTGGGGGGGGGGGGCCTGAACTCTGGGCCTGGTCACTGCCCCTCAGCTTTTCAGCTCAAGGCTAGCGCTCTACCATTTAAGCCACAGCACAACTTCCTCATTTTTTTTTTTTTTTTGCATATGGTACAATATCATTCTTCCTAACAGATTCCATTGTGTAGGGCTTCATGGTGGAGTGCTTTCCTAGCATGTATGAAGCCCTGGGTTTGAGTCCTCAGTACCATATAAACAGAAAAAGCTGGAAGTGGTGCTGTGTCTCATGTGGTAGATAGCTAGCAAAAGAAGCTCAGGGATAGTAGCCAGGCCCCGAGTTCAAGCCCTATGACTGGCAAAAAAAAAAAAAAAAAAAAATCCATTGTGTGTGTGTGTTACATTTTCATAATCCATTTGCCCACTGAGGGGCATCTGGGCTGACTCCACACTGTGGCTGTGGTAAACAGTGCTGCAATAAGCATGGCTGTGCTGTGGCTATACTATACAGCCTCTCCAACAAATGGTACTGGGAAACTGGATATCCACATGCAGAAAAATGAAACTAGATCCTAATATATCATCTGTACCAGCATCAATTCAAAATGGATCAAAGACCTATAGGTAAGTCCTGAAGCCATGACACTATTACAGGAATGAATTGGATGAACATTAGGATTTCTTGACACAGGCAGGAACTGCATAACATCCAGAAGCATAGCAAGTCAAAGATGATAGATGGGACTGCATCAAACCCAAAACTTTCTGTAAAGCAAAGGACATAGCCAGCAAACCAAGAAGACAGACTACAGAATGGGAGAAGATTTTTGCCAGCTATACATCAGACAATGGCCCAAGATTCAGAATATACAGACAGCTTAAAAAACTAAACCCTCAAAGAACCAATAATCCAATTAATAAATGAGCTAATAACCTAAAGACTTCTCAGAAGAAATAAAAATAGACAACAGACACATAAGAAATACTAAAAATTCATGACCATAAAGGAAGTACAAAACAAAACAATACTGAGATTCCGGCTCATTCCAGAAAGGCCATTATCAAGAAAACAAATGATACTAGATGCTGGCAGGGATGCAGTAAAAGGGTACCCCAGTACACTGTAGGTGGGAATGTAAACTTGTTTAATAACTCTGGAAAGTAGTGTGGAGGTTCCTTAAAGAAACTAAAAGGTAATAATTTAGCAATTCTACTCCTGGGCATTTATCCTCCTGGAGGTTTTTGTTGCTATTTCTTTTCTTTTTTTTTTTTTGTTGGTCGGGTCGTGGGGCTTGACCTCTGGGGCCTGGGTGCTGTCCCTGCGCTCTTCAGCTCAAGGTGAGTGCTCTACCACTTGAGCCACAGCATCACTTCCGGTTTTCTAGTGGTTTTTATTGGAGATAAAAGTCTCATGGACTTTCCTGCCCAGGCTGGCTTTGAACTGTGATCCTCAGATCTCCGCTTCCTGAGGAGCTAGGATTACAGACGTGAGCCACCGGTGCCCAGCTTGTTACTATTTCTTAATGCAATTGATTGCATATTAGCTGACAGTTGAGATTTGGAAGTGAGAAATACTATTTTTTCCTTTTTATCTTGGTATTGGGACTTGAACCCAGGACTTTGTGCTTTTGCCCAGCTTACTTGTGGCTGGTGGTCTACCACTTAAGCAACACTCCCAACCAGGCTTTTTGCTGGGTCAATTGGAGATGGAATTTCATGGACTTTTCTGCTATGGCTGGCTTCAGTCCTCCTAGTCTCAGCCTCCTGCACAGGTGGGATAATAGGTACAAGCCTCCAGGGCCTGGCTTGGGAAGTTCTACTTCTCCTGTCTCATCTGTGTTACTGAATGGGTAAATGGTACTCAGGGTTACATTATCTACGTGTAATACTTAGATTAGGGTCTGCTTCTGTATCCAAAATTAACAGTAACAACAACAACAACAATAACAACATCTTACTAGCTGCATGGTGTTGCTCCCCCTCTGTTGCAGTTCCTGGCAGGTTCTCTGTGAGGTGTCCAGGGTCCTGGTGGGATGGAGAACTGGCTGGTCCACAGCTGGTGGAGACACGCCCATCCCCAAGAGTCAGCTTTCCTAGAGGTCCCTGGCACAAGGAGGAGGAGCAGGGACTGTGAATAGCATCATAAGGCATACACAGGACAGCTGGCTTGGGAAAAGCTGAATGCTCCTTAGACTAGGAGCCAGCAGATGTGGATCTGAAAACCATAGTCTTTTCAGTCTTCCCAAGTCCCCTTCTCTTAACTTTAAAATGTGGATGGTGAGGTCTGCCCAGTATCATGCATATAATTTTATCTTATTTTTATATTTTTTGGTGGCACTGGGGCTTGAATTCAGGGCTCCATATTCTGACTTGGTCTTTGGCTCAAGGCTGGTACTCTAGTGAGCACCTGAGCCATAGTTTAACTTCCACCTTTGCTGGTTAATTGGAGATAAGATCTCATGAACATTTTAGCCCCTAATTGCTTTGAATCTCCATCCTCAGATCTCACCCTCCCTGAGAACTAGGATTACAGGCATGAGCTATCAGCACTTGGCTTATGAATATAATTTTAAATAAAGGATGATAGAGTAGGTATAAAAACAGCATATGAAAGGCTATAGAGATGAAAGGTACTATTGTTACAATATTTCACACAGATCTCAAAGGCTATACGATCAGTTCCTTACTTTGGTAATGAAGGAGAGGGCAAGTTGAGATAAATGAAACTGACATTGAAGGTGTCAAGATTTTCTTTGGGCCTTATGTCAGTGGCTTGCTTTTTCTTACTTTGTTCTACCTAATGCATCAGAAGATTTCTAACCTTCCTAAAAAGTTAAATCAGCCAGGCACTAGTGGCTCATGCCTGTAATCCTAGCTTCTCAGGAGGCGGAGATCTGTGGATGGTGATTCAAAGCCAAGCTGGGCAGGAAAGTCCATGAGATTCTGATGGCCAATTAACTACCAAAAAATCTGGAAGTGCAGCTGTGGCTCAAGTGTTAGAGCACTAGCCTTCAACAAAAAAACCCTCAGGGACAATGCCCCCAGGCCCTGAGTTCAAGCCCAGGACTGATTGAGGGTATATGTGTCTTTATGTGAAATCAGTTTATTTGAAATTTATCTATTGATGGGTGACAATGTTGTCAGACATTTTGTACTCATATACTGTTTTGTAGAGTGGGAACTTCTTTGTACAACTACTTAAAATTAATTAAAAAAAAATTATCCATTGAGTACTGAGCCATCCCTCCAGTGGCCTACAGGTGGCAGCAGAGGACAGAGGTGAAAGCTATGCTCTCAGCTAAGCTCTCTCACAGGAAGTGGCATGGTAAAGTGTCAGTTACTTGATCAGGGAAACCTCAATAAGCTTTATTTCATTCATTTTCTATTTACTGGTGAAACATAAATGTAATATATTTATAAGATAAAACAAAAACAGAGAAGGAATTTGAACACTGTAGCCACATGGTGATGGCCCTGTACTGTTCATGTAGTGCTGAATTGTACAACTCTGAATGGGTAAGTTTATATGAATTCCATCTTAATAAAGCTATTAAACACCACCTAAAATACTAAATAAGGGTAATAGAGAAAACCTCATTTACTAAGATTAGATATTTTTTGTCTTCCACTGTCTGAGGATTTTACATCAATGCATTCTAGTTTCTATTTCACATAAAAATTAAACCAAAATTTTAAACTAAAATTTTTACAAGAAAAATCAATTATTTCATATAAAAGTTTGTGTGTGGGGGGTGTGTGTGTGTGTGTGTGCATGCGTGTGCATGTGTGCCAGTTCTGAGATCTAAACTCAGGTCTTAGTAATGTCCTTCAGCTTGTTTGCCCAAGGCTATTACTCTACCACTTGGCCACAGCCCCGTGTCCAGTTTGCTTATTTATTTATTTAATTTACTTATGGTGCGTAATTGGAGATAAGAGTCTTATGGACTTTCATGCCCAGGTTGGCTTTGAAACACGTTCCTTAGATCTCAGCCTTCTGAGTTGCTAGCATTACAGGCATTAGCCACTGGTGCCTGACTCATATGAACGTTTTAAATGCTGGTCAAAAGTTCTTATTGGGAGCTGGGAAGGTGGCTCAGTGGTAGAGCACTTGCCTTGCATGCTCGAGGCCCTGGGTTCGATTCCTTAGCACCACATAAGAAAAAAGCCGGAAGTGGTGCTGTGGCTCAAGTGGTAGAGTGCTAACCTTGAGTTGAAGAGCTGAGGGACAGCGCCCAGGCCCAGAGTTCAGGCCCCATGACCGGACCCAAAAAAAAAAAAAAAAAGTTCTTATTGGGAATATAAATTCAAAATGACAAAATCTCTTATTTTCATGGAGTATTGTTTGTTTGGAGACAGGGCTTGCTATGTAGCCTAGACTGCCCTGGAACTCACAATCCTCCTGCTTCAGCCTCTTGAGTGCTGGCATTACAGGTGTGTGATACTACACCTGAAAAAAAAACTGTTACTTATAATATTTATAAACAAAAATCCTACTGTTGTCTTTAAAGAAGGAATGTACCCTTTGGCTGAACTTTGTGCTATAAAATATGTAATGGTGGAGGTAAAACACTACTTTTGAGGAAGAAAAAAAGATGAGCATTTCTATTTTTAAAAAGGGGGGAAAAAAAAAGAAGATTGCTAGGTACCAGTAGAACATAGCTGCAATCCTAGCTACTCAGGAGGCTAAGATCTGAGAATCATGGTTCAAAGCCATCCCAGAAAGAAAAGTCTGTAAGACTCTAAGTAGCAAAACAGACAGAGTAGTAGTGTAGCTCAAGTAGCAAAGCACAGCCATTAACAAAAAGAGTCCTGAGTTCTAGTCTCAATACTGGCACCAAATTTAAAAACAACAAGATTAAAAAGATTTGTGGCTGGGCACTAGTGGCTCATGTGTACATCCTAGCTACTCAAAAGAGTCTGAGATCTAGGGACAGATGTTTGAAACTAGCCTAGGCAGGAAATGCTATTTTTAGGGATTCTTATTTCCAATTCATCACCAAAAAAATTGGAAGTGGAGGTGCGGCTCAACTGATAGAATGCCAGCTTTGAGTTGAAAAGCTAAGGGATCGCACCGAGGCCCTGAGTTCATGCCCCAGTAAGAGCACAAAAATTTTAAAAAAATGCAAAAGAAAAATACCAGTCTGAGTTTAGTGATTGAATATCATTTTGGGGATCTATTTATACATGTTTATAATAGTGATTTAAACACACATCTTCATAAATATGACCTATATGGCATCTCAAGAGTTATTTGGAAATTTATGTTGAAGAGGAAGTAAATAATACTAATTGTGCTTCTCTCTCCTTGCTAAAAATTACCTTGAAATTAGATAATTCTAGCATACTTACAGCCAACTCATGGTGAAGTTTACTATCACATAGTATAATTTATAAACTTGACTGAAATCACCCTTATTTCATGGGATAGTTTTATTTGAATTTTGGTTTGTATTTATTCTTTTTTTTTTGAGATTGGTTATTATTATATAGCCCAGGTTTCCCTTGGTTTTCCTTCTTCATTCTCCTGAGAGCTGAGATTTGAGGTATGCACTATCACACCCAGCTACATGTGCTACTTTAAAAAAATGTGCTGGTCCTGAGACTTAAACTTAGGGCCTAGATGCTGTCTCTGAGCATTTTTGCTCAAGGCTAGCACTTTACCACTTGAGCCAAAGCTCCACTTCTAGCTTTGTGATGGTTAATTAGAGATAAGAGTCTCACAGACTTCTCTGCTCAGGCTAGCTCCACACTGCAATCCTCTAATCTCGGCCTCCTAAACAGCCAAGATTCCAGGCATGAGCCACCAGCGCTCGGCTTGCACATGCGACGTTTAAGGGTCCCAGCAGCTATCATTACACATCATCACCATAGAAATTTTGAAAAAGGATCATTTAATAACCTTGTAAGTGGAGAGAATCACTATTCATATGGATTATCGCTCCCACTCTGAGCTGAGGAGTCGGTCAGCACCATCCCCATCTCTCAGCACAGAGACCCGAGCCTCAGGAGAGCTCAGTAACCTGTCCAAAGCATCACTGCACTCATGCCAAGGAATGAGTGGCCTGAGGCTTTCCCCTCCCACATCACCACAGGCCCTGTGCACGGGTAAGAGAGCCATCCTTTTTTTTTTTTTTTAAAAGTCAGTTGTGGGGCTTGAACTCAGGGTCTGGGTGCTGTCCCTGAGCCTCTTTGTGCTCAAGACTAGCTGTCTACTACTTGAACCAGAGTGCCACTTCCAGTTTTTGGTTAATTGGAGATAAGAGTCTCGTGGGGACCTTTCTGCCTGGGCAGACTTTGAACTGTGATCCTCAGATCTCAGCTTCCTGAGTAGTTAGGATTACAGGCGTGAGCCACCAGCGTCTGGCTTGAGCCATTCTATCTTTTGGCTGCACAATCTTTTTTTTTTTTTTTTTGTTGGTAATGGGGCTTGAACTCTGGGCCTAGGCGCTGTCCCTCAGCTTTTCAGCTCAAGGCTAGTGCCCTACCACTTGAGCCACAGCCCCACTTCTGGTTTTCTGGTGGTTTAGTAGAGGTAAGAGTCTCATGGACTTTCCTGCCCAGGCTGGCTTTGAACCATGATCCTCAGATCTCAGCCTCCCAAGTAGCTAGGATTACAGGTGTGAACCACCAGTGCCTGGCAAGGTTACACAATCTTATGACTAACAGCTTGCCATTAAATGACCATGTGAAGATAATCCTCCAATCACTGTTCTCTTACGCAGATTACCCTGTGCATTACAACAGACCAGGGCCATTCACCAGGATTCCCTGCTGTTGGAAAGCTAGTTAGTTACCTTCTCCATTCCACCTGGCTGAAGACTGGTGATGCTCTGTGCTTTCAAATCCTGACCACATGTCCTACTGGCCCTGCCCGGGTCTGAGCAGCTGGGCCTGGGCTCGGCCTCAGGCCTCTTGCAGTGTGGACTGATCCTGGCCACAGGTTTGTGCTTAGACGCCAGGTTTTCATTCTTGGACTGGGGGGATGTGGGGTTCTCTGGGCTTGCTGTATAGACTTTGTATTCCAGTTTGGGCGAACTCCTTGATCCTGACAGTTCCTTTTTTCCGGCACCACCAGGATCACTCCTGGAGGCCCCTGTGGAGCCCAGCAGACTGGCGGCCTGGGCAGAAGCTTCCATCCTTCCCTCTGCGCCACGTTCTTCTGCGTCCAGCGCACTGCCAAGCAGCGGCACGGAGCAGGCCTTGCTGACCTGCGCCTTCCGAGGGGGCTCTTCTTGCTTGGTGACATCCGTGACTTTGGAAGGGATCTCTATGACATGGCCAGTGTCATCCTCTACCAGGGGCCTGCCGGGACCCGGGAGGGCTCCCGGGAGGGAGATGCAGTCTGCGTCCCCATCGAACTCTTCCTCATCGCTGGCATCGTTGGCATCATAGCAGCGTACCCGTCGCTGGCGGAGGAGGGGGTTTCTCAGGCCCTGTGGGCTGCCAGGGAGACTGGCTTGCCTGGCAACGGTCACCTGCTTGTGGAACAGCCCAGAGGCTCGCTGGCTTCCAAGAGCGACAAGGCTGTTGGCTCTGGCTTTTCCTGGCTCCTTGGGAGCTGAAGGGGATGGAGAGAGAAAAGTCACATAAAATGAGTTCCCCCTTCCCCCCCACATTTGGCCTGGTCCTATAACTCCATCACGACACCGGCGTTTCCATAGTCACAAACACTAGACACGCAACCTCCAGCCGCTGGAAGATATACTTAAGTGATAGAGCTTCGGGAAGGCTATACAGAGTCAACAGCCAGCCTATCACAGAAAGGATTATTTTATTTCCTCTGTAGCATATCTCCTATATTGCTGGTATCCAACCTAAGTACTGCGACTGGGAATTCCTCTCAAGATGGGTGGGACCAAGACAATGTCCCACATACCTAGCCCTTCTTTTCTTTTGCGGTGATGAGTAACAGGCCCTCAGCTCCTGGGCAGGGGCCAGCCACGTCTGAGTTGCCTACTTCCCAAGTGTGAAGTACGCATGCTCACACCTTGAAACCTGTGTCCCAGAGAACAGAGCGTGCCTGGCAATTCCAAAGAGTCATTGTCTGCCTCTTCTAAAACCAGGGCATTTTCTTGTTCAGACAGTGGAAATCCAAAGGAACCTAACCCAGCAGATGTTCAGGAAGTCGCTATAGTTCACGTCACATTATCATCTCATCTTTAGAAGACTGTCAAGAGCTGGGCATGGGTGGCTCATGCCTGTAATTCTAGCTACTCAGGAGTAGCAAAGTACTAGCCTTGAGCAAAAGAACTCAGGAACAGTGCCCAGGCCCTGAGTGTACCATGACCACCACTACCAATAGCAAAAGACTGACAAGGAGATTAAATACCAACCTTTTGCTAATCACTTTCTCTTTGTTTCTCTCTCCCTCTCCCACTCCTCCTCCCTTTTGTGCCTACCCTGGGGCTTGAACTCAGGGCCTGGTCACTGTCTCTAGCACTCTACTACTTGAGCCACAGTTCCATTTCTGGCTTTTTGGGTCATTAATTAGAGAAGAGTCTCACAGATTCTCTTGCTTGGGCTGGCTTCAAACCGTGATCCTCAGAGCTCACCTCCCAAGGAACTAAGATTACAGGTGTGAAAATGACTCACTCATTGGCTTCTAAGAATTCAGTTTTGATCCTGGAATTTGGCTGGGATTTCATGAAGTATGAGACTCAGGATGCCCACTTCAATTTTTGTTTTCCAGGACTAGGGATTGAATCCAGGGCCTCACACATGTTAGAAACCCACAGAACGCCACCCCAGCCTGATTCAAGACTGCATATGACAAATGGCATCTAAAGCAGACTAGAGTTAGCCACCTTACTACCTGAGGACAGAAGGTTTGCCCAGCCTGCTCACGGCCTGAGCCAGTGGCATGTCAGCAAGAGCAGCTGCATCTGATACCAGTGGTAAACTCTGCCTTTTAGACAGGGTGGGCTGATGATCTGGACTTAACCCAGTGTGTGGTCTCATCACTTTACTAAACCAGGCAAAGTGGCCCTGTGCTACTCATGGCCCACAGTGCGATGGTGAGAGCCAGCATTGCTTACTGCAGGGTGGAGCCCAGGACCCTCGGTGGCCACCAGGCAGGCCGGTGTCCTCTGCTGTGCTGCCGCTTCCAGAGTGGTCCTCATCCTCAGAGCCAGCAACCAGGAAATCCGTCAAGTGACCTTGTACATCTTGGGTGAAGTACTGGGAGAGGTCAGATTCAGAGATGAGGGAGTCCTGCTGGGAAAGAAGTAAGAAGTCTCCATTTTCTGGGAAAGATGCTTGAAAGGCAGATTTCCTAGCTTTACAGTGTTGGTAAGTGCCTATCTCCAATAATTAATGCATACAAAGATCAAATAAGATCAGTAATAAGATTGATAATTAGTGAACACAAAGGTGACTTGCTGCCAGACACTGTTTTTAGAGATTGCTTTTAGAAAAGGTGGCCACAAAGCCGGGTGCTAGCGGCTCACACCTGTCATCCTAGCTACTCAGGAGGAGGCTGAGATCGAGGTTCAAAGCCAGCCCAGGCAGGAAAGTCTGTGAGACTCTCATCTTCAATTAACCACCAGGAAACCAGAAGTGGCACTGTGGCTCAAGTGGTAGAGCACTAGCCTTGAGCTGAAAAACTGAGGGACAGCGCCCAGGCCCAGAGTTCAAGCCCCACGACTGACAAAAAAAAAAAGTGGCTACATTTTAGGCAATATTTAGAAAGCCACAGAATCCTAGAATAAAATTCCAAGCCAAACGGACTAGCTAGATGGGGGATTATAAATTAAAAATTGGAAGTTTGGCCCAGTGCTGTTGGCCCACACCGATAATCCTAGTTACTCAAGAGTTTCAGATCCAAAGCCAGCCCGTGCAGAAAAGGCCATGAGACTCTTATTTCCAATCAACCACCAGAAAACCTAAAGTGGTGCTGTGACTCAATGTGGTAGAGCACTAGCTTTAAGCAAAAGGAACTCCAGGCCCTGAGTTCAAGCCCCATGACTGACAAAAAGTTTGAATCCTGTGCCCTGATACAGTGTTTCCGTTTCCTTAAAGTTGAAGAGTCCAAAAATACTCAGGCTGGCTTGATTACAGAACAAGTTTAAAAAGCTACTGCAGTTCAGCTCTATTCTGTTTATTTTCTTTTTCTCTTCCTTCCTTCCTTTCTTCCATCCTTCCTTCCTTCCTTCCTTCTTTTTCTTTTCTTTTTTTTTGTTGTTGGTCATGGGTCTTGAACTCTGGGCCTGGACGCTGTCTCTCAGCTCTAAAGCTCAAGGCTAGTGCTCTACCACTTGAGCCATAGCACTGTTTCTGGCTTTTTCTGCTTATGTGGTACTGAGGAATCGAACCCAGGGCCTCATGCATGCAAGGCAATCACTCTACTATTGAGCCACCTTTCCAGCCCCAGTATTTTGTGTTCTTTTCTGGACAAATATTTTCATTTCTTATTTTTTCCTTTTATTGTATGCAGGGGATACTGGGCTTTGAAGTCAAGGTCCTCAAGTTTGCTAGGGAGGTGCTGTACCACTAAATATTTTAAGAGAAAAACACATTTGGGTATTTGTTGTCAAATTAGTGTGGTTACAGAAACTGGAGGTGTGGCTCAAGTAGTAAAGCACCAGCCTTGAGAGAAAAAGTTAAGCAAGGGTACAAAGCCCAAGTTCAAGCCCCAGTACTGGCCCCATAAAACAAAACAAAACAAAACAAGACAAAAAAACCTCTTAAAATTAGCAATGAGTTAGCAGGCCACCAGTATCTCATGCTGTAATCCTAGCTATTCAGGAGGCTGAGATCTGAGGATTGTGGTTCAAAGCCAGCCAGGGCTGAGACTCTGATCTTCAATTAGCCACTCAAAAACAGGAAGTGGTGCTGTGGCTTAAGTGGTAGAGCACTAGCCTTGAGTACAAAGAAGCCAGTGACAGCATCCAGGCCCAACAACTGACAAAATAAATGCATAAATAAAATTAGCAATGGTTGCAATTGCCTGTATATTGTGGCAGAAATATGGGCAAGAGACTAAGCCATGACTCATGGGCTTCAGGAATCAGCTTGTGATACAGCTTAAGCAGGAGACAGTTAATGCTTGGACTTACCTTTTTGGCAAGAGAGGGACTCTTCAAGGGAGTGCCTGTAGGTGGGAGGAAATATTCCACACTGTCAATATAATTAAGCTAATATCATAAGCAGGCTCACAGATTTCACCAGAAAAGGAGGAACCAAGGGCATGAAACACAACTCTTCCCTTTGCTTATGAGGTGTTGACAGAATGTGTGTGTGGACAGAACAAGTTCACAGACCCCCCCGGGCTGGAACTTGACCTGAACCCATTCTTATACTCCAAGCCTGGGTTCTAACAGGAATCCAAATGGAAATAACTTCTCCTTCTGAATTTACACAGTATCTCATCGTCCCACACATCAGTTTCTGTATGCATAGGATAATTTAATAGTGAGTCTCATCTCCTTCCTCCTCAACTTTAAAGCAATCCGTAGGGCAGAGATGTTGACTGACTAGACCCCAAGTGCTGTCCAATAATTGTCCAGGGGTATTTTCTGACTGGATTAAGAAAATGAATGGCCAAAGGAACAACCTCCAATAAATACATGGAAGGGCTGGGGAGAAGGCTGGGCTGAGCATTTAGTCTTTAAATTATATGCCATAAGTAAAGGAAACTTAGGGCATGAGGATCATGGCTTAAACTCTTTGCTAAGTGATCTAGTGGAAATGTTGATGAAGAGCACAGCTTTCAGGCAGGTCAGGTTATATAAAGAGCCTATTATGGCTGAGTCCATTGAAATATATTAATTATGGATGCAAATAATCAGAGTATTTCGTGGTTGCCAAAAAAAGCTCTGATTCCTTTTCCTCTGACAACCAGTAACTCATATCTCAGGTTTTTTCCCCACTATGGACATCAATCTGAAGGACTGGAAAAAACAAAAACAAATAAACAAAACAAGACAAAACAAAAAACCCCCACTAAAGCTCAGAAGGAAACATTCATTTTAAAACTTGATCCAAAATATAAATTCATTAGAAACTTGTAGGATCTCAATCTTCTTCCTTTAGAGGGGGAAATCGTATTATTTGCTCCCTCTCTGACACACTTTGCATTGACATATTCTAATTTCTGCCAAGAAAGCTCAGGCTTTTGGAAGATAATAGTCTATCTGCCGAACTATTCATATTTTCAGATCATGTCACGTTTACCTATGGCATTTCAGATAAATTGCGCATCAATACATGAAATGCTGTTAACTCACTTTTGTAGATTATGTGAAAGGAAAATAAGCATGCATGATTAGACCGGAGATGAATTACACTAGATAACCATGGAAGTCAAAAGTAGCCACTGAGAGAAAGCAGAGATGCTCTCTGACAGCTACTTGCACCAGTCCTGACAATTAGAAAGAATTTAACACAGGGTAGTGCCCTGTGGGTGAACTTAACAAGAAGCTTCTTAATGTTAAATAAAAATGCACAATGATCATACCTAAGCCAGGAGAAGAACTGGCTTCTTTACTCTCCTGAGAAGTGCTCTTTGCTATCACTTCATCCATCTCCTGTTCGGAAACCTGATTTTTAGCAGAAAGGAAAAATTACATAGTTGTATTTAGTTATTCCCCACCCCAATACAATAGTGAGGACCAAAGTCAGAGTTGATCCAGATAGAGGCAGATCACAGGGTTAAAGATGATGGGCATCATCCGAAGCAGTAACATAGGACGTACCAGTGCAGCTGGGTTAACCCCAAGACAGATAACAAGACCTTCAACTGCTCTCCACGTTCAGTGAGCAAAGCGTTCACGCACTGTCATCACTACCAATATGGCTATAATCTGCTTTTTCTTTTTTCTTTTTTGCTGGTACTGGGGCTTGATCTCTGGGCTTGGGCACTGTCCCTAAGCTCCTTTTTGCTTAGGGCTCATATTCTACCATTTGAGCCACAGCACCACTTCTGTCTTTTTCTGTGGTTAATCAGAGATAAGAGTCTCAGGGATTTTCCTGCTTGGTCTGGCTTTGAACAGCAATCCTCAGATCTTAGCATCCTGAGTAGCTAGGATTACATAAGTGAGCCATTGGAGCTTGGCGAATACCTGCTTTTTCTCTACAACAGCTTATTTTTGTGCTGGTACTGGGGCTTGTGGTCTTCCTTAGCTTTTCTCAAGCCTGGTGCTCTCTTGAGCCACAGCTCCACTTTCAGTTTTGTTGTTGTTGTTGTTAATTGCAATTAAGAGTCTCATAGACTTTCTTATCAGGGCTAGCTTTGAACCTTGATCTTAGCCTACCCAGTAGCTAGGATTATAGGGTGACCCAGTTTCTATGGACCTCAGTTTCTTCATTTTAAAACTTTATTCAATTAATTAAAAACCTGCAGAAACATGCAAGAGCAGTACAAGAAGAGTACCTACATTTGATAATTTTTTAATTTCACATCTTTGCTACAGTTACTTGTATGCCTTATCTACGTGTATGCTGCATACGTGCATACATATTGCTATCCTTTTTGTAAAACCATTTGCAAATTACAGGTATCATAATCTTTTGCTAACAAATATTTTAACTAGTATCTCCTAAAAATGATGACATTCTCAAAACAGCCATACGATTAACAGACTCAGAGAATTATTTGTTGATGACTAGCTAAGGAACATTTCACATTCTATGTCAATTGTTCTACTACCATCCTTTTAAGTCTATAAGCACAACTAGTTCCAAAGTTTGCTGCCAGCCTTCAAAGATGTAGACTTTCCTCCAGATTGCAAATTAGCATGGCTTCCTTCATCAAAGAAGTCTTGGTAGGGAAAGAATCTCAACTGAACTAAATAGTGTGCTTAGAAATGCAAATGATTCACTTTCATCTTGTTTCAGACCTATAGTGGACTATCATGCCCCAATTTCTTTACATGGTAATACTTTATTTAAAAAAATGATTTTTGGCCATCCAGGATCTAGCTGTATGTCTTTAGCCTACCTGTCTGGCTGTCTGTCTCTGTTTCTTTTGTTCCAGTTCTAGGGCTTGAACTTGGGACCTGGGTGCTTGCTGTTCCTGAGCTTTTTGCTCAAGGCTAACACTCTTCCACTTGAGCCACAGCTCTATTTCTGGCTTTTTTGGGTGGTTAACTGGAGGAAAGACTCTCACAGACTTTTCTATCCAGGCTGGCTTCAAACTGTGATCCTCAACTCTTAGCTAGGATTACAGACATGTCCATTTAAATCTCTTTAATACAAAACAGTTCTGAGTTTTTCTTTGTCTTTCATGGTATGGTATTTTAGAAGAAATCTAGGCCAGTGCAAAGCCTCAATTAGCATCTATCTGTTAGTTTCCTCATGTTTAAATCAAATTAGTTTTTTCTTGGGTGTGGGAGAGACAAAAAAAACTACAAACATGATTTCCTTCTCTATCCAGAGGCAGTGTGTCTCATAACTGGCGATGATAACACTGCTCTCTTGGTTAGAATAGCATGTACCAGATTTCTCTGGGACTTGAGGGTCACTAATGAATAATGAGTGAGGCGACAGGTTGAAACTATGCTAGTATCCTGTATCCCAATATCCTTTGGCTTTAGCATCATTATTCTGAAATGTTACCATGAAGCTTTCAAACAGTGATTTCATATCTTTTCTATTCCTTCTGAATTTAATAATATATTGGTAGAGTCATGGAATTTTTCCCCAATTAGTTGTTATACTAGTCATCATTCAAAAAATGTTATTTCAAAAGGTAATTAGAACACTTGCAGGGTTTCTTTCTTTCTTTTTTTTTTCTTTTGTCGGTTGTGGAGCTTGAACTCTGGGCCTGGGCGCTGTCCTTCAGCTCTTCGGCTCAAGGCTAGTGCTCTTCTACTTGAGCCACAGCACCACTTCCAGTTTTCTGGAGGTTTATTGGTAATAAGAGTCCCATGGAATTTCCTGCCCAGGCCGGCTTTGAACCATGATCTTCAGATCTCAGCCTCCTGAGTAGCTAGGATTACAGGCATGAGCCACTGACGCCTGGCTCAGAGTTTCTTTTTTAAAGATAAGAATATTTTTACGGGGCTAGGAAGGTGGGCTCCGTGGTAGAGCACTTGCCTTGCAAGCATGAGGCCCTGGGTTCGATTCCTCAGCACCACATAAGCAAAAAAGAAAAAAGCCGGAAGTGGTGCTATGGCTCAAGTGGTAGTGTGCTGGCCTTGAGCTGAAGAGCTGAGGGACAGCGCCCAGGCCCAGAGTTCAGGCCCCACGACCGGACCCCCCCCCAAAAAAGAATATTTTCACTAAAATAATATTTAGCATAAATCTTACTTGGATAAGCAAAGTAATCTGTCTTAAATAATAAGTATTTCTACAAAAGATTTGGCATTACATTTTAACCCAACAGATAAATCATAACCATCATAGAATCTATGTAATATTTGTAGTAGGTTTCATGGGAAATAATGTACATAAACACTCACACATTTACATTCACACATACAAATGAGTCAGAGAAAGGATCAGCTTAAACAGCAGTTGCTATTTTTGACTTTCAATATTTGCAGTTGTTTTTCTGAGTAGGAGAACACCAGATTTCTATGACTTTCCTGGACTTCACATAAGCTGGAAGCTGCTATCTTAGCAGCTCTAAATCTTTGCCTGTCTAGACCTGGAAGGTCTGAATAACCCAGTTGGGCAGCCACTGCTCCAGACATTATGAGAAACAGAAGAATGAAAAGCCTTGTGGTATTTCTCTTGGAACAACACAAAACTAAAGAGCACATACATCCAGTATCAAAATGCACTACTGGCACAAGAAGCTTGGCTAAGTGGTACAAAAATACATTAAACATAAAATGGAATCTTGACCTAAAGAAAAATACCATATGAGCTTTCCACCAAGACCCCCATGTTGACCTCGGAAGAAAGGTGAAATCCAGATACTGAGATTTGGTTTTGCTGGATGCATTTACAACCCTATCTCAGACCATTTTCCTGGATCTGGAACCACGAATCACCTGTGTGTTCAACAGGATCTCATGGCCCCCATCCAGGGGTATTCTTGTGAGCTGAAATGCAACTTTGATGTTTGACTATGTTGGCAGAATAGAACTAAGCTTTTGGGCCAACATGTGGTAGATGATAAACAAATCACCCTCGGCATTATACTGCAAAACTGAAGCCAGGCATGACATGACTTGAGCCAATGACTGCTAACCACTGGAAACTTAAATGTTCAATAATGTCGCTGAGGGAAATATTAGGTCAACCACAGCTCGCTGGATGGCTTCCTGAGGAGAGAGGAGGAGGTGTGTGTGTGTGTGTGTGTTGTGAGGTTGAGTCCCTGTGCAGATTTGCTCTCACTGTAACCAGGAGAACAGAACTGAACCTGACCCCGGGCAGCTCAGCAGTGGAGAGATGCTGCAAAGTAGAAGAGAGTCAGAGACAAGGCTCAGGACTACAACTTGTGGGAGAAGAGTGGCAAGTAAGTAGGAAAAAAATGGACCAAAGTAGAAGCAGGACTTGGTTTGATATTAATGATACTTATTAGATCTTTACAAGACATTTCTGAGAATGCACTCCAGTCCTTTTGTGCTGATTTTTCTGGAGATACGGTCTTTCTTCCTGACCAGGTATAGGCCTGGCCTGCGATCTGTGACTTTTGGCATGGCATCATAACTAAGATGTGTGCCAGCACATTCAGCCCTAGGCTGAGAAGGGGCCTTACAGATACTTTTATTTCCCCGCATTAGCTAAGGACTTCAGTCCTTTCAATCAGCCTTCCTTGTAGCTAAGGGTCTAAGCACAAGTCCCTGCCTAGAAGAGACAGTGTTCTTTTTTTTTTTTTTTGGGTCCAGTCGTGGGGCCTGAACTCTGGGCTTGAGCGCTGTCCCTCAGCTCTTCAGCTCAAGGCTAGCGCTCTACCACTTGAGCCACAGCGCCACTTCCGGCTTTTTTCTTTTTGCTTATGTGGTGCTGAGGAATCGAACCCAGGGCCTCAGGCATGCAAGGCAAGCGCTCTACCACTGAGCCAACTTCCCAGCCCGAGACAATGTTCTTAATGAGGCTTTTGAGCTGTTACAGCAGAGGCCAGTGATTGGAAGTTCACGATCATTTGCAAATCCAGTCCACATCTGCAGTGTGATACAGATGTGGAAAAGTGGAGAGGGGTCTTAGGCTTTCATTACAGAAGTATTCTGATCAGGCCAAGGATGGCCTGAAGGAGGAGACTCTTCTTTCATCTGCCCCACAATCCTAGTGAAATGGTTCTTAATATTCTTGGGGTCACTATCAAAGAGAATCTGAGATAAGCCAATTGACTTCATCGACAAATACAAGTGTGTTTCCACGTTGGTTCCTGTAACCGTCAAGTTAGGAATCCCTTCAGAGGGGCTGGAGGCATGGTTCAGGTGGTAGAGCACCACCAGTCAGACCAAAACAAAAAATCCTTTCAGAGTTGGGCCTGGTGGCACATGCCCATCATCCTAGCTATGTGAGAGGCTTAGATTAGGAGGATCGCAGTTCAAGGAGGTAGAAAAGGACATTCGATGGCTCATTCTCAATGGAAGATACCATGAGCATCTTCACACCAGTGATTTACAACCTGTTAGCAGATTATGTGTGTTCCTTTTCTTTCCTATGGGATGATCCACATGAGACGAAGCAAGGAAGGACTCTTGCCTTCTGCTACGTGTCTTTTGTAACACAAGCAAATCCAGTATTGAACAAAGTGAAATTAAGAGAAATGGCCAGGAGAATTACAAATGTATTTATGCTGTGGAACTAGATTTGAGAACTGTTGTATAAATAGTCTGTGGTCAAAAAAAATTAGCATGAATGACTTAAAAAGAAACAGCTTTGAGCACTGGGCTCATCAGACAGAAAAACAGGATCCTCCCCAATGTTGAATAAACTCAACAGATAATTTCATTATAGTGTATTTAAAGTGTTGGGCTTTATATTTCTCCACTATTGCTATTGGCAATATTGGAGTTTGAACTCAGGATCTTTATGTTTGGTAGGCAAGCGATTTACCATTTGAGCCATGTCATCAGTACCCCTATAACACCTATTTCTTATTTCTTACTTTAAGAAAACTTAAAATTCACTGAACCTGATTTAAAAATCTATTATTTAGCATTAAGCTTAAAGATGAGAATTTCCAACATGATCAAAGAAAAGATGACTTCTTTTTTTTTTGTCAGTATTGGGGCTTGAACTTAGGGCTTGGGTGCTGATTTTTAGCTTTTTTTGCTCAAGGCTGGTGATTTACCACTTGAACCACAGCTCTACTTCCAGCTTTTTGGTGGTTAAGAGATAAGAGTCTCAAGGCCGGGTGCCAGTGGCTCACGCTGTAATCCTAGCTACTCAGAAGGCTGAGATCTGAGGATCCCGGTTCAAAGCCAGTCTAGGCAGGAAAAGTCCCTGAAACTCTTATCTCCAATAAACCACTAGAAAACCAGAAATGGTGCTGTAGTCAAGTGGTAGAGTGCTGGCCTTGAGCTGAAGAGCTGAGAGACAGCGCTCAGGCCCAGAGTTCAAGCCCCATGACAAAACAAAACAAAACACAACAAGAACAACAAAAAGAGATAAGTCTCACAGACTTTTTTTTTTTTTTTTTTAAAATGCAAGCTGGCTTCGAACTACAATCCTCAGATCTGAGCCTCCTAAGTAGCTAGGATTATAGGTGTGAGCCTGTAGAAAGTATTTATCTCAAAAAAAAGGGTCAGAGAGATTATTACCCAGACCAGTGTGCTCTAGTTTTCTTGATGCAAACATTAAGTATCCCACCAGTAATCAAACAGTTCTGGGGGTTATTCAGAGCCCAGAACTCCTACCCTCCACCAAATCAAAATTCAAATTCACCAAATAAGACTGTCCAAATTTCTTAATACAAATTTCTAAGAGCATGATGATAAAGCGGTGAGATCAAAGGTTCATTTTCCACCTGTGTCAGTTGCTGGCTGACTTCCCACACCAGCTGGCTGAGCTGTCTTACTCGAGAGTGTGTATTGTGGCTGTGCTGCGGGACAAGCAGCCAGACCATCTCCCTGTACTCAAGACAAGATGAATCATTCACCTTGGGGTTAGGGTGTCGGCCGATGACCAGGCGAACTGGTCCAGGGGGGCACTTGCTCAGGATGGCATGCACTTTGCTTAAAGCAGCATGGCGCACGTTGACTGAGTTGACTTCCAGGATTTGGTCTCCGCGGCTGGGGAGGAAGACATAATCAATACATTGCATTGTTGTGACAGTCAGCTTGTTCTTTGTTTTTAGATGCTAAGGTTAGATAATTCAGGGCCTTGCATCTACAACCTATATGAGGTACTCAACCGCTTGAGCCACAGCCCCTAGTGTTTTTTGAGTTAGTTATTTTTCAGATAGTGTCTCATCCTTTCATTTATACCTGGCCTTAAGACTGTAGTCCTCCTGTGTAGCTGAGATTACAGCTGTGAGCCACCAGCAACTGGCTAACATCAAGCTTTTTAAAAGCTGAGAAAGCTTTCTGCAGCCAAACATGGTGGCTCATGCCTAGCTATTCAGGAGCCTAAGATCTGAGGATCGTGGTTCCAAACCAGCCTGGGCAGGAAAATCCCTGAGACTTTTATCTCCAATAAACCACTCAGAAAACTGGAAGTGGCACTGGGGCTCAAGTGGTAGAGTGCTATTCTTGAGCTGAAGAGCTGAGTGACAGTGCCCAGGCCCAGAGTTCAAACCCCACAACTAACAGAAAGCAAGCAAGCAAGCAAGCAAGCAAGCAAGCAAGCAAGCTTTCCTCTGGGAAAGGTTTATAATTTAAAATCTTTTTGGATATTTTAAAGATGTAAATGACATCCTTTTATCCTTGCATACATATATAAAAGCAACACATTTATACAAATATATCAATCAGATTTTATATTGACAAAGGCCTGGCATTTTCAAGAGATGGTAGTTAAGTTAACATTGATAATAAGGACAACAACGAAGGCTACATTTCTGAGTACCTACTCTATGTCAGGCCAGGCACAGAACAATGATGTAATAGTGTTTCAGAGTCTTCCCACTGTGTGTGAGACTCAGTGGTCACCCAGATATCACACTGCGGAGCTCACACCGCCCTGATTCGTGATGATCTCGCAGACCTCCCATTTCTCCTTTATCCTCATCATCTTGAAATGATTATTTTAATATAATTTGAGGAGGAATTATCTAAAGCTCAAGGTTACTCAAGAATTTCTAAAAACGTTTCAAATTTGAACAAATGAGAAATTTGGGACAAGTTTGCCTATTTCAACTTGAGATTGCAGGGAGACCTCAGGAGGAGAGAACAAAGGCGCTTTACATGGGTTGAAGAATGTTCATTTGGCAAGCGCCACACATATGGAACCATTCAAGAAAGAAACATCATCTTGGGATGTCATTAAAGGATTTTTTTTCCTTGGGTTTTAAAAGTATATTTTCTTTAATGTACTTTGGATGATTTGCTAGGTGTTTTTTTTTCTTCATATGGAATTTCACTCTGATGATTAACTAAAAACGTAATATAATGTATTCAGAGCCCCAAAATGGCAACCTCAATGAATACCATTTTGTCAATTCAAGTGCTGAACGACTTAGAAGCTTATGGGAGAGAAAGGTGATACTGTTTTCAGAGGGCTGTGCATAATGTGTGTACATTCTTGTGAAGTTTAGGCGGGCACCAACCCATTGCAATTACTACAGAATGGGATCCTTAGACATGGCTTGTGGAAACAGAGCAATCACATTAAAGCTCTCTGGATTAAGAAGTTAAGACACTCCAGGATTTTAGACAAACAGCACCTAGATATCACCACTCAAGCAGAAATGCATGTAGTAGAAAAAGTTCCAAAGATAATAGTAGAAATGTCTCCCATCCAGGTGTGACATTTCAGAACTCTTGTGTCCAGTGATTCTGAACCATTGCAGTTCTGAATCATTATAGATTCTGAACCATTAGCAGTTCCAGTATCTTTCACCAATCATAAATGTGAAAGTAGATGCTGAGATTACCACAGGCTCTATTTTGTCAAGACTTTGAGGGTGAACTTCTGAGTCCAAATGGAACAAAACCGGGAAAGTTAAGAGCCAGATTCTCAGAGTCACCGAAATTTCATCAGCTTTTCATCTTTGGGGGTGCTATTAGTTGTAGTGTTGGCTAATCTATATTCAAAAATGTAGAATTCCCCAAGGATTGCAAAGGAGCAACAACTAGCTCGTGTGTGAGTGGATAGTCACATATTCAAGAACATTCCAGAACCCAACCCAATTAGGGAATCAACCAACCTCAGGTTGCTCTCCATCTTGGCCACCGACCCAGGGGCAAGGCTGTGAATGTAGATGCCTGGAGGGCTGTTTTCCAAGGCCAGGCAGCAGGCACCAATGCCTAGTCCAACTCTTGGCTCTGTGAGAGGAGTGTCAGAACACAAACGGAAACATGACACAGGAAGCAGAAAAGGAAGGACAACCAATCAGAAACTTTATTGGAAACCATGTAGTGTTGGTCTAGGCTCAAAATGGAAATTCCTGCTTTTCTTTCATCCAGTGGTTTGTTCTCTCCTTAGTCTATAAATTTGTTTTTGGAAATAGGAAGAATATATAATTAGTATTTTGTATTCTAGACATATAGGCTTTCGGCTTGTTTTGTCTGTCTTTTTAGCAACTAATCTCTTGATAAGTAACTGTTGATCATCTGTTTTCACCAAGTGGGAAGACAAGTAAACCAAGATGAAAAACAGTAAGACTTGCTCATCACCCACTTTTAATTGTTGGGTTATATATTGTTGTTGTCATTGTTATTATTATTCGTAGTAATGGGCTTTGAACTTAGGGTCTGCGTGCTTGCTAGGCTGGCATAATACTACTGAGCTGCATAGCACCAACCTGTTTTCCACTGGTTAATTTTAGAATAGGTTCTTCCCTCCCAGTTAGGCATGCTCCTACATAATGACTCTTTCGGGCTTCCTTTTGTCATAGGGAATACAGACATGCACTGTCTGGTTTCCCTCCAGGGAGACAGTAACTCCTGGACTTCTTTTCCTGCCTGGGCTGGTCTGAAACCACAATTCTTTGATTTTAGCCTTTACCAGATGGGATGCGCATCTCCCACGGAAGTCTTGTATTTTATGTTTATTTATCTATTTATTTGTTGCCCAGGCTGGTCTTGAATTGCAGTCCTCCCATTCTCACCATCCCAAGTAGACATGATTACAGTTGTGAGCCATTAGTTCCCAACAGCTAACTATATGCTTAACTACAAGATCGAATTCTTTAAAATTTTATGGATTCCTGCCAGGTGCCAGTTGTTCGTGCCTATAACCCTAGATACTCAGGAGGCTGAGACTCTTATCTCCAACTAACTACCAAAAATGTCAGAAGTAGAACTGTGGTTCAAGTGGCAGAGCACTAAACCTGAGCAAAAAAGAAGCTCAGGGATAGTGCCTAAGCCCTGAGTTCAAGCCCTAGGAAACGCACACAATAAAAAATTGTGAGTCCTGTACTTGAAGTACTTTTATTTTTTTTTTGTCTTAAACATGAGCCTCTGATACAAAGTAATTCATCTGGGAGGGGCTCAAAGAGCCTTGTGCTTCTGCTAACTTCTTTTTCTTCCCTTCTATCAAATGACTAAAAAGCTTTACATTCAATCTCACTGTCCACGTAGACATGACTGCTTTGAAGTTAAGAACAGATGGTTCTAAAAGAAAAAAAGAAAAAGAAAAACAAAGAAAACTTGGAAAAAAACAATAATAACCAAGTTCACGTAAGAATAGATTCTGAGTGGTTCCCCAGGAGGACATAGTGTGACAGTGAGCCATAGCTAGTATCACCTTTGTTGAGTGTGACTTCCATGACAATCCTGTCCTTGGGCCCAGGAGTCTTCCGACCCAGGGATGAAGACCCACAGTCATCAGAGCCTCCTGCTGATGTCCCCCCAGTGGTGTTGAAGTTTGGAGAGCTGGATCTGCTCATGTGCGTCGGGGTGGAGCAAGGCGTCAGGCTGGGGCTCAACAATTTTGTGCGCACTGTTAAGACGAACAGCCCACTCCGGATTTGCTGCAGAAACAAGAAGGAAGGCACGGGAAAACATTCACTCATCATCTAGCAAAGAAGAGACAAAAATCTCCACAAACTCAAATTGAAAGAAGGAAGGAAGAGAAACCAAGGGAGAAGCTGTTACCTTAAAGGTGTGAATGGCTTCTTGGAATGTCAGGCCTTTTATTGGTATTCCATTTACATCTAGGATTTCATCACCTGGTGACCAAATAGGAGAATTACATGAACACTGAGCTTTAATTTGCTGAAACTGAACAGTTTGGTTAGTACTGGACTGGGCTGTTTATGGTTCCTGATTTACTACTATATAAAGTGATTTCTATTGTCATAATGTACCTTTGTGATATAGCTCCTAGGCACATCCCCCAAGTGAGACAAATAATAAAAGTGCATCTAATGGAAGGGGAGACACTGATCAAGATGCACTATATATTGACACGCTGAATAGAAACCCTTTTGTACAACTACTTAAAGATAATAAAAGATGTAAAATAAACACTGTAATCCCATCCTCAAAACAATTATGGGATCTAGAAATCTAGCAAAATGTATGCACATAAAAATGAAACCAAACAAAAATAAGGAAAACATCTTATTCTTTCTTTAGCCATTATCAAGTTTGAAAACAGATATCCTATGTAGAGGGATCAAACTGCAAATATTGAGTATTTTTTTCTTTCTTTCTTTTTGTTTGTTTGCTGGGCTTGGGGGGTCTCTTGAACTCAGGGCTCGGGTACTATTCCTGAACTTTTCTGCTTATAGCTAGTACATTACCACTTGAGCCACAGCTCCACTTCTAGATTTTTGGTGGTTAACTGGAGATCTCACAGGGGCTAGGAATGTGGCTTAGTGGTAGAGTGTTTGCCTAGCATGCATGATGCCCTGGGTTCGATTCCTCGGTACCATATAAACAGAAAAAGCTGCGGCTCAAGTCGTTGAGTGCTAGCCTTGAGCAAAAAGAAGCTTAAGGACAGTGCCCAGGCCCTGAGTTCAAGCCCCAGGACTGGCACACATACAAAAAAAGAGGCTCACAGACTTTCCTGTCTGGACTGGTTTCCAACATTGTTCCTCAGGTCTCAGCCTCCTGAGTAGCTAGGATTACAGGCATGAGCCATTGGCACTTAGTGCAAATATTTCCTGATTCATTGTTTAAAAACTTAAATCCACTGGCAATAAGTATAAACATGTACAGAATTTGAGATACCACTCCTATATTTGTAGAAAGACAGGTTTCCCCAGCTCAAGGAAAAGAGCTTCAGAGGCAGAATGAAGGCTCCCAAGTTATGATTGAGAAATGGCAGCTCCTCTTCCAGAAACAGTCTAGATGCCTGGCTCTTCAGTGTTAAGCTAGCAAGCTGCTGTCTCAGACGTTATACAGGGTCACTTCCCATTACCGCAGGGTGATGACAGAGTGCCAGCAGGTCCTGCACATGCCCACTTGCCTCTCCTCCACCTCGAGTTAGCCTGTCACCTTCAATCCTAAGAAGGATTGAAAATAATGACGTTGGGTCAATCTTTTCAAGCTGCTGATAGTGTCTGCTGGGACTATAAAAGAACTTGGACATCCTGTTGACTTATAAAAACTTGTTTCTGGTTTGTGCTTTTGTTGCATGGGCTGTTTTTCTTTTTATTATTTTGAATAACAGTTCATCAACCCTACAGAGATTCCCCAGAGAGAAGCCCAGATGAACTTTCGTTAGCAGAGAGACCTTGTCCACCACCTACAAGAAAATGCAGAGCAGCAGCAAAGCACACATTTTCACTTCTCACAGCCAGCCAATTCCAGCAGCCTGTTGTGTAGACCATGAAATCCTGTAGCAATGCTCGGAGTATTTTATCACGTGCCTTATCTTTAATGAAATTTCAGAAGTTGTAGAGTAAGTAAAAAAAAAAAAATCTTTCTTTAAAAATCACCTAGTATAACCAATTGTGTCCACACGGGAAAAGCATGGAGACATTAAAATGACTGCCCATGCTGATAAAAATTTATGTAAGATTTTTAAAAGGCATCTCACTCAATGAGTTGAAAATCAATGCCAATGGCTTATGTTTCTCATAAATGAACACATATGAAAAATAGTATTTAGGAGAATCAAGTGCCACTAATTTAACCTTGCAGGATGAATTTCAGTCATGTGAAAGTGCTCTGCTGGAGTTTTACGTGGATCTAAGACTAGACACAAATACCACCTGGGGGTTAACTCTTCACCTGCCCTGGAAGAATGGCGGCCGGTCATGCCACTGTTAGCAGATAAGCTTCTGTGCTTGCTCTGCTGTAAGAAGGGATGGCCCCCTGCACTTTTACCATTTTCCTAAAGTAAATTTCTATAACACAACAGCCCCTATAGTTTGGACCAACAGAACTGAAGTGTCACATCATTTCCCAAGACAACTAGAAATACTCTTATGGAAGACATATATTAAAGTGTGTGGGGGAATCAAGATTCACACTTTGATAAATGTTATTTAAAATGTCTGTTCAGGAACTGGGAAGGTGGCTCAGTGATAGAGTGCTTGCCTTGCATGCATGAGGCCCTGGGTTCGATTCCTCAGCACCACATACGCAACAAGAAAAAAGCCGGAAGTAGTGCTGTGGCTCAAGTGGTAGAGCACTAGCCTTGAGCTGAAGAGTTGAGGGACAGCACCCAAGCCCAGAGTTCAGGCCCCACGACTGGACCTCCCCCCATCCAAAAAAAAAAAGAAGAAGAAAAAAAATAAATAAAATGTCTGTTCAGGGGCTGGGAAGGTATCTCAGTGGTAGAGTGCTTGCTGCGCATGCATGAGGCCCTGGGTTTGATTCCTCAGCACCACATAAACAGAAAAAGCCAGAAGTGGCTCTGTAGCCGGAAGTAGCCTTGAGCTGAAGAGCTGAAGAGCACCAGGCCCAAGTTCAGGCCCCACAATCGACAAAAAAAAAAGTTTGTTCAGAATTTCTTAATTTTGTCATAAGAAATATGCATACAGTCAAATTAGAGAACTAATTCATAGTAAATACACAGATTTCAAACACAAACATCGGATTCTCTTTACTAAAGGCAGATATTATGTCAGTATTGGAAGGAAAGTTTTGGGCTATTCAGTTTTTATCTCACTCAACTATCATAGTATATTCAAGAGGGAAGATGAACTGTGATTGTCCAGTCCTCTTGCATTCAAATGAGGCAGCAGTAGGAAAATGGGAGGTGAACTGAACTCAGCATCAGAAACAGTGCTAGAATTTCCCGGTTAGTATTTAAAAGAGTGAGATAGTTTCTAGTCACCTCACATTTCGGAGTGTCCCTTTCTTCACCTGTAAAATCACTCTAGCGGTGCCTACAACAGCTTTGTAAACACAGTTAACGGGATACATAGATGGAAAGCCTTTGTAAATATTTTAAGCACCACACAAAAGGTGATATATATTTAGACATTTAAAAAGTTGGACTTGCAAGTATAACTTAGCACCTCAATATTACCTTCATTTATACTCAAAGGAACTTGCTGAGTATTCTTATGTGTGATAAAACGGCAGGTACTGAGCTTAGTGGTAGAGTGCTCGCCTAGCACGCATGAAGCCCTGGGTTCCATTCCTCAGTACCACATAAACAGAAAAAGCCAGAAGTGGCGCTGTGGCTAAAGTGGTAGAGTGCTAACCTTGAGCAAAAGAAGCTCAGGGACAGTGCCCAGGCCCAGAGTTCAAGCCCTACGACTGGCAAAAAAAAGAAAAAAAAAAAGGCAGGTGCTATGGAGTTGGGGTCATTTAGGAACCAAATGACAGGGTGGTTGATTTTGACAGGAAGATATTGAGTGGCTACTAAGGAATGACCAGGAACTCTGCTTTCCTACCAGCTCTGAGATGAGCATAGATCACAAAACTCTTAGGAATTTTTGCTCAAGTCTAGTACTCTACCAATTTGAGACACAGCTTCACATTCAGCTTTTTGCTGGCTAACTGGGAATAAGAATCTGGGGAACTTTTTCTGCCCAGGCTGGCTCTGAACTATGATCTTCAGATCTCAGCCTCTTCAGTAGCTAGGATAATAGGTCTGAACCACTGATGTTTAGCACTCATAGGAATTTTTAAGGCAAAGAACATGATCAAGGACTAAGGGCCCAAGTCTCCAATAAAAATATCAAGCCACTTTCCATGTACTATCCGATCATCTGATCATCAGCTCTTCCAGGTAGATGATACCATTTTAAATTTACAGCTGAGGAAATAGAAGCTCAGCTGTCCATGATGAGTGCTAGATTCAGCCTACGCCTACCACAGCCTTAGTTATTGTGCCTTTTACATTACACCTGGGCAGGGGCAGATCCTCATGGAATTGAAGCTCAGTGTTCCTAAGAATCACCAAGAGGCTTTCTCCTACCTTCTTTAAGTCTTCCATCCTCTGCAGCTGATCCATTTGGGAAAATGGTCTTGACAAAAATTCCCATCTGGCCTCGAATACAGTCCCGACCTCCAGCAATACTAAAGCCAAGGCCCTACATTCAAAGCAGATATGAGTCAGGTTGACATTGCAGTATTTAACAGAGGGCACCTTTCCTATCGCAGAATATAACTGCAAGCACCTTTCCTGCTGTTGTGTGTGACTAAGGTGTCTGCCTAATCAGGTGCAGAACTTCTGTTTAATGAGCCATAAGCTCCAATGTTCATCCCTTCCCTATTTCCTTCCTCAGATCTAATTACATTGTCTAAGTCATGCATTCCATTAAAAGGAAGACAGTTGAGGCTGATTTATATGAAATAGCTAAGATCTGACAATCTCAGACCTCCAAGAACTGAAATTTCACACAGATCAACCACATAGGTCTTGGGAATCATATGTTCTTGCCATATGAAAGGTGCCATATTTGCTTCAGTACTTGCATTTTTGGATACATTTTGATCTATGAGTAGTGTCAAGTTATGCATATCATTCTTTTTATAGTAATAGCCATGCCATGAACTTTACTCAAGGATAACTGGGAGTACTTCCTGAAGCTACAGGGTCTTGAGTTTCTGTCACTGGAAGCAGAAGTTAGGAAAAGTGGATGCAATACTCACAACAAAAAGAAGAAATGATTGAGGACCTTTCATTCCACTTTTGATTTTCCCTAGAGCCAGCCGAGTGCTGTAACTCTGCATCCTAAAGGCAAAGTGGAGGTAACCATTGCATACACTGGGGCCCACAGGAAAGAATGCTGGGAAACTCATCCTACAGCCGCTCCCTCTATCTCTCTTGTTCTTGTTGTTTTTTAATCTCATGTAACAACAGATAATAAAATCTAAAAACTGAAATTAACCATCCAAGGAATAATGCCACCTATTAGCTGGAAGGCCAGGAGGGAGCCTGCAGAAAAAGAGCTCACCTTGCCTTTTTCTTTATACAACCCAATGATGGAGATCACAGATGGCCGGATGAGTCTCCACGGAGATTCCACATGGGTGGTGCTCAGGGAGCGGGTGGATTTCTTCACGATGTGGTATTCCTAAAAGCCAGAGTAAGGTAAGAGTAAAGATATCTGTTGGGGGCCCAGGTACACAAATATGCACAGGCATGAAAATGTCAGTCTTTTGTTGAGATGACAGTATTTCTCTGCTCCATCTCTGGTCTAGTGAATTAAAGGAAGTTTACTATGAATAATTTTGGAGAAAGACCCTCTGCTGTTATAGATCTACATGCTTCCCCACCCTCATAAAGAACTACTTAGCAACCTCGAGCACTCATGTTGTTCTTTCCTTCTCCATATTTTACAGATCCTTCTGGAATGGAGTCAGGAACCAGAAACCAAGAGGCCTCAAAGATATGAGATAACCACCCTGTGGTTGGATGGTAGTTGGAAATCACTCTCCTACCACATCCCCTTCCCAACTTCACAGTCATGGTCAGAAAGTATCTCACCATTTTAAACTAAATTTGCTCATTCAAAAACTCAGTAATCCTTGTTTCTTATATATGGCAAACCACAGACCCAGACAACTATTATTCCACATGAAATATCCTGCTGAGACATGGTAGCTATTTCAGCTCTAATCCCTCATATTTGGAAAATAAAATCTTTTCCCTAAGCCACACTTTCCCTTTTTGGACCACAGCAGTCAGATCAGGTTATGTATTCTAAACATCATCAGCCTTGTACTTTGCTACTCTTAGGAAAAAAAGTAAATGTCTTAGGGGCTTAGATATTCTAACATGAGCCAAAAATAAATCATTTCATGTTTAATATACAAAAAGAGAAATCACAAAATAGATTTTATCCTTAAATTTGTGCCTGCTATGCTGAAATATAGAAATGTCCCCCAATGATATTTTTGTATCCCACGCAGTTTAGAGCAATTACACTGCGAAGTGGTACCAAATCTGCCAGGAATCTGAGCCTCCCAGACTTGGTCTCATAACATCAATGCTGAAGGCTTGGCGAGGTTACTACAGTTTTACTGAAACCACTGCAGAGAGGACCAGACACGGATTCGAGTCTGATCTCCATGAGAGAACTCCTCTCATCACTAAGCTTTGACCCTGCCTTACTCACTCCTCCTTGTGGAAAGCAGCCGAAGCATGCTTCACGGCAGAGTGCCGGGCTTCACCTGTACATTCCAGGCTGTGTGGTCTAATATAGTGACTGCTCACCACCAATGGCTGCCTAGAGTTTAAACATAATGTTAAAGATTAAAATGCACTAGTCACGTTCTATGTGCTAAGTAGTCACCTAAGGCAACCGTCTTAGATAATACAGACACAAAATACTTTCATCCATCTGTAATTCTAGCTACTCAGGAGGCTGAGATCAGAGGCTCATGATTCAAAATCCATGAGGCTCCAAGTAACCACCAGCAAACCACAAGTGGCGCTGTGGCTCAAAGTGGTAGAGTGAAGCTCAGGGACAGCACCCAGGCCCTGGGTTCAAGCTCCACAACCAACAAAACAAAAAAAAAAACAACCTTCCATCCCTGCAGAAAGTTTTATTGGAAAACTCTAATCTAGGCATGACTTTTTAGTGGAGGGAGAGAGAACAGAAAAAATCAAGGCCAATCATGGGGGAAATAAAGGACAGAAAATAAGCGAAATAATTTGAAGAGGGAAAGAACTTGTTTTTAAGACTTTTTTTTCTTTTTTTTGGGTCCAGTTGTGGGGCCTGAACTCTGGGCTTGGACGCTGTCCCTCAGCTCTTTAGCTCAAGGCTAGTGCTCTACCACTTGAGCCACAGCACCACTTCTGGCTTTTTTCTTTTTGCTTATGTGGTGCTGAGGAAGCGAACCCAGGGCCTCAAGCATGCAAGGCAAGCGCTCTACCACTGAGCCAACTTCCCAGACCTCTAACACTTTTATATTAGTATGAGCTTCCTTATTTCTGGAAGCAGCTTTAACAGACCATAGACAATCACCTGTGAGATTGTGTTGTGAAGACAACACAAAACAGCCTTATCCCCTACCCTGTCTTTGAAACAAGGATACGCCCTGGCCAGGTAAAGAGCACCAGAAACATTACCAATACTTTCCTGCATTATACCAACCATACTCACACATGTCTCTTCACAGAGATTACACCGTGCCTTAGGCAAAATATTTTTAACTTCCTTGATGTTCAATCGATACATCTGCAATGCTCATACCATATCAAAAAGCCGAGTCAAGACAGGCTGAGCCAACTCTTTTACAACACTACTGCCCCCAAGTCCCCCAAGGATTTGTGGGTGTCACTTCAACCAGCCTTCTCTTGCTCATAGGCCTGAAAACCAGATGGCAAAAGTTGAGGACAGTGTGTCTGAGGAGGAGCCTCGTGCAGGGTTATGGAGCCAGGGCTCTGATGGGAACAGCTCTTCTCTACATAGCTGATCTTGTCTGTCTGAGTTGTCACTGTACAGCAGGTAGGATCCCAGACATGGCAGAGGCGCGTGTTCAACCCACCCACCCATAACGCTGTTACACTGACACACGATGCTCGCATAAAATAAGCAATGGTGGTTCACCACAGACTAGAAGACGCCACTGTCTCCTGGCAGTTGAGCGCAATTTCTTAGTTCCAAAACACACAGAAGGAAGGGAATCAAGATGTTGAGATCCAATAGAAGATTCTTGTCTCCCTATTCGTTCAAACTGACTTCCTTCTAGTCCTGTGGGTAGACAGCAATTCTCTCTACTGTCTTCTTGGTCTCTACTCTCTGGCCTCAACTGCTCACAGTCCACACAGATGGGGAGTCCTTCACACTAAGGTTCATCCTGGTGTTTAAAAGGAGAAATAAATGAAACGAGCCTGGAGACCTGGAGGTTGGCATCCGGCCTGCTCTTCTCTCCCTAACCAAGCAACTGTGGCTGTGAGTGAACCCAGGCCCAGAACTGACCTGAGATGACCCAGAGGAGTCCAGCAGCTGGGGAAGGGAGTGTTTTCGGCCATCTCGGGAGACCTCCAGCATCCTGGCTCGAGGGTCCCCATTGCGTACCATCAGCTCATTGTATTCTTCAACAGACTCTAGGCGGTGGACACCTCCTGGAGATAAAGAGAGTGGGAAAAGTATGGCTTGGTAAGGAACGGGAAGAATCTTCAGTGCATCCATCCACAGGCATGAACACATGGCATTTATAGCCAAATAGGGAGTTTCAGAAGGCCTGGCATCCGAGAGACCCAATAGGCCATAATCAAACCAAGGTTTGAAGTGATGAATTGTTGCAATTATGAATGTCAAGTTAGGAAGAAATGACGAGACTGGAGAAAGGCAATGCTTATATTCATTCAAGGTTAGGTGTAGATGTGGGGAGAAAGTCTACAAACCAGGTTTGCTATGAACTTGAAAATCTGCGGCCAACTCCTGGAGGTATGACCATGACCAGATAAGTAATGACTTTTAAAGAAACTTTTTGTTCAAGTACATTAAAACAACTTAAGAGAAAGTGCACTAATTTTAAGTGTACCAGTGAATGAAAATTTACAGGGTGAACATATCCCTAACCTATTTTCCAATTAAAAAATACAATATTAATCAGAACCTCACCAACTCTCTTTCTATGATGTTGACTTTGGACATCATAAATCACTTTTGCCTATTTACTGAAGTTTATATAAATGAATATAGGCTAGATTAACATAGGCTAGATTGGGTCTTACATGTAATCTCAACGATCTCAGACTGAGACAGATAACAGGAGGATCATGATTTGAGGCCAATTCAGGCAAAATATTACCGAGATCCTTCCATCTAAATTGACAACACTGTAATTCCAGCTATGTGGGAAGCACAGGTAGGTGAATTGTGGTCTACTTCTGGCTTCACACAAACATATAAGACCATATCAGAAAAATAACTAATGCAGAAAAGGATTGGAGTTGTGACTCAGGTGTTTTACCCTGTCTAGCAAGTGTAAGACTCTAGTATTGCCCCTGACAAAACATATACAATATGCACTTTTTTGAGTGTCCAGCTTCTTGTTCTTAATATTTATTTGTGGGAATCAGTCAAATTATTGTATGCCAATAATTTGCTTCTGCCCCTCTTGTGTAATATTCCATTATATAAATATATTGCGATTTGTTTATCTGTGCTATTCTTGATGGACATTTTGCCTTGTTTGCAGCTTTATATCTAAAACAAGTGGCATGCAAACTTTGCTTTGGTAAGGGCCATACAGTATATGCTTTTGGTTTTGAGGTCTATGCATGGTTTTTCTTTTCTATTTTCCTTCTTTTTTTTAATGGTTCACTAAAAATGTAAATTCTGGGTTGGAGGTATGGCTCAAGTGGTACAGTACCTGCTTAGATAGCATTAGACTCTGAGTTCAAGCCTCAGTACCACACCAAAAAAATGTAGAAAGTATTTCTAGCTTGTAGGCCACACACATACAGTGTTTGGGCTGCAATTAGCCGACCTCTGACCTAGAATCTATCGTATTAAATATTCTTCTATCGGTCTGTAGCAGGTGCATATCCGTTGGGAGACACCCAGAGTGGAGGCACTTGCTACACACGCTTCACCTCTGTAGTGCTGCTCATTAGCATGATGAGTTCTAGTTTCTTTACATTCTCCTCATCCTAGTAGGTTCGTGAGATCTCATTCTGGTTTTGAATTTGCATTCTACCAATGACTAATGAGGTGAGGCTACTTTTCATATATTTATTGGCTGTTTTTCTTTGGCAAAGTGCTTGTTCTGTTCATGTTTGCTCAGGTTTCTGTCATTTTATTATTGGTCCATATATATATATATATATATATATATATATATATATATATATATATAATTTTTTGTTGGTTCTGTGGCTTGAACTCAGGGCCTGGGTGCTGTCCCTGAGCTATCTTGCACAAGGCTAGCACACTATGAGCCAGTGCCTGGCTTGGGGTTTTTATTTTTATTTTTATTTTTTTTTGAGTCTGGTTGTGGGGCCTGAACTCTGGGCCTGGGCGCTGTCTCTCAGCGCTTCAGCTCAAGGCTAGCGCTCTACCACTTGAGCCACAGTGCCACTTCCGGCTTTTTTCTTTTTGCTTATGTAGTGCTGAGGAATCGAATCCAGGGCCTCAGGCATGTAAGGCAAGCGCTCTACCACTGAGCCACCTTCCCAGCCCCGGGGTTTTTATTTTTAATGGATATCTTCGGTTACTAAGTCTTGCTGAAATCTATGTAAGTGTTTTCTCCATATCTGTGCCTTACCTTTTTTCAGTGATGGAGGTCCTGGGATTTGAACTCAGGGCCACGTGCTTGCTAGGCAGGCACTCTAACACTGAGCCACACCTCTTCTTCCCTTTTCACTGTCTTACGTGTGTGTGTGTGTGTGTGTGTGTGTGTGTGTGTGTGTGTGTGTGTGTGTGTGTGTGTGTGCATATGCTGGTACTGGAGCTTGAGCTCAGGGTCTCACACTTTTGTTTAGATTTTTCTGCTTAAGGCTGATGCTGTGCCACTTGAGTCACACCTCTACTTCTGGGGTTCTGTAACAGTATCTTGGATTTGTCTGCTTGGGCTGGCATCAAACTACAGTTCTCAGATCTCCGCCTCTTTGGTCCCTAGGATTCTATGCAGAAGCCTCTGATGCCTGGCTTAATGGTGTTGTTTGATTAGCAAGATGTTCAGTTTCAACCTAGTACAATACAGTCATGTGGTTTAATGACCAGATATATTTTGCAAAAGGCACTGTTAGAAGAACTCCCGCTCATCTGGTTGAACCACTACTAAATATCCACATGCTGCTGATCACAAATATGGTATATAACGTGTGAACACTGTTATATATTACAGACTGTGATAGACAATTTGCTCCAGGAAAGTTAGAATGAACTTGTGACTTTGAAATTATGTAATCACTTAATCACAATCAAGAAAAAAAAAAAAAAGAACCTGGGGAAGGGAGGGAGGGAGGGGATGGTAGGGGGAAAACAATGGAGGGGGTAACAATGTTCAAGAGGAAGTGTACTCATTACCTCACTCATGTAACTGTAACCCTCTGTATAGTAGCTTTACAATAAAAAAAAAAATATATATATATAAAAAAAAAGCCATAGGATGGTAACATTGTTAGGGACTGCAGAATTGGCTTTGTCTCAGCTCAACATCAAACACACAAAAGGCCCGGATAAAAAAAAAAAAAGGCACTGTTAGGGAATTTTCTCTCTGCACTGACACCATAGAGAAGGTACATGAAGCAGGCAACGCAATCACTTGGGATTACAGCTATACCTGGGTACCACTTTGCACTTCTGTGGTTAGTACTTTGGTGTCCTATTTAGCAAGCCTTTTTAGTATAGTTTTGCTTTGTTTTGGTGCTGAGGACCAAGGCAAGGCCCTGGCGATGGCTAGGAAAGTGCTCTACTGCTAACTGGTATCTTGAACTCCCAGTCTTAATTTTTTTTTTTTTTTTGGTCATGGAGCTTGAACTCTGGGCCTGGGCACTGTCCCTCAGCTCTTCAGCTCAAGGCTAGTGCTCTACCACTTGAGCCACAGCACCACTTCTGGTTTTCTGGTGGTTTACTGGAGATAACAGTCTCATTTACTTTCCTGCCCAGGCTGGCTTTGAACCTTGATCCTAAGATCTCAGCCTCCTGAGTAGCTAGAATGACAGGTGTGAGCCCCTGGTGTCTGGCTTCTAGTCATGATTTTTAATGGCACCTTTAGCAATCCCTTATACTGTACACTGTTTAAAAGTAAGAATTTAGGGCTGGGAAGGTGGCTCAGTGGTAGAGCACTTGCCTTGCATGCATGAGGCCCTGGGTTCGATTCCTCAGCACCACATAAGCAGAAAAAATAAAAAAGTCGGAAGTGGCACTGTGGCTCAAGTGGTAGAGTGCTAGCCTTGAGCTGAAGAGCTGAGGGACAGCACCCAGGCCCAGAGTTCAGGCCCCACAATCAGACTGACCCCCCAAAAATAAATAAAAATAAAAATAAAATAAGAATTTAAAAGATTTTACTCTTAAATGACGGCTCAGTTACATAAGTATAGCTATAATGCCACTATGATGTTTTATATGCTATGAATATTGTGCATAAGTTGCTTGAATATCTAGATATACATATAGATCTGTGTAATGATTCATTTGATAACTGGAATTTTAATCTACCTAGAAATTTCTTTAAAAGTGTTTCATGGAATAAGATGAGATAGCTGTACTTTTTAAAAGAATATGTGGATTTGTTTTTAATAGTGATGCAAATACAGTGCTGCCATTACAGGCTTATCTTTTCAGAAGCTCAATAGTAACTTTGGGAAGTAGATTTTCAAATATCTGAAGTCTCGTTGCCAGCAAGAAAACAATTTGCATTTAAAAAGATCATACGCTTAAGGGATTAACACAGATAAAACCAAAGTATCATAACTAAAGGAGAACCCTGCTGTAAGGAAAGTAAGAAAGACGGGTTAGATTATCAGAAAAATACTCCATGGAATGGCAGATGACATTGCTCTTGTCAGTTTTGGAGCCAGGCTGGGCAAAGCCCTGTGGAAATGGCTGGAATCTCTTAACAGACACTTTTAAAAAATAATTCCTGACTTAATAATTCATGACTAGATTAATCTCTCTCGGTGTGCTTACTCATCTGAAAAAGGATTTATTAGAAGAAAATCCCTCCTGAGCTGACAGGGAGGCAGCTGCCACAGACAGGGAGCCCACATGTATGTAGATAAACCCTGATGCTGAGTACCAGAGCGACTCATTTTAAGAAATTATGAAATCAACATCTGGGTTTTACAGGGTGGACAAATGAAGAGCGATTCCATGAAAACCTCCTATGCAAATGTCTTTAGAGCAAACACATTCTACAGCACCAGATCAAGACCCAATCCCTTAAACCTCTTTAACACGTCTCCAGTCTAGATTCCTAGTCTTCTCTCTCCCTTCCTCTGCTCTCTGAATCCTCTCTATCCTGATGGCTGTCAAAAGGATTTGTCATTTCCCCTGCCCCCCAACCGCCGCTCCATTCATAAATATGGGGAATCTAAACATCTCGTGAAGGTTTACCCAGCCTTGCCTGAGCTGCCCGGGTCTCTCCCCCAGTACTCTGACAAGCTTTGCTAGATCACATCATTCTGGCTGTCAGATTAGATTGTTCTGCAAATAGTGGAAGAGGAAACAAAAATACCATGAGTTTCTGAAAACTAATTATCTTCCCTTTTCATTGTCCCCCAAATCTAGATTAGTTTTTATTCCAAGTCTAGACCATTGCCCCTCCCTCCCCCCAGAAGCTTCGTTGTTCTTGCTTCTTCTGCTATGGTCCTCTGGTCACAAGCAGGACCGGCTCTCAGCCCTGCTACCTGTGTGGGGCTTATTGGTTGTGTTTGTGTGTGCTGGAAACACAGCTTCTGGAAAAGGCCTTCGTAAAGGCCTAAACCTTTGCAAACATTTTCCCCTCTAGAGCAGGAAAAAGGCAAGAACAATATGGATGCAATGCAACTCATGATGGTGAAGATCATAGAACACTGATGACTGCAGCCACCAAGAGGCCAGGAGGACTCTGAACGGCCAGTGCATTTGCTCGCCTTAAAGTTCCAATAGTGCATTGTATATAGCCGCCCCTTGTTTACTGGCAGAATAAATGTATAATTCTCCCTTTCCCCTGAACTTGCTGGTCCTGGACTCACTGTATGGACAGAATGAGCAAACCACATCTGATCGGTTCTCATCCGAATCTAGGAAGTACCAGGAGAGGGAAGAGAAGTGTTCCCCAGATCCCTGTGAGGTAAAAGGTGGGAAAAACCCTGAGAGTCTTTTTCCTGGCTCGGACAGAGTGACCTTTGGGATTTCCTTAAGTTCTCTGCTGTCATCCATAAAATAAGGAATGTGGCCATACTGGTTCCAAAGGTCCTGGATTTCCTCAGAGCTCTGTGAGTCTCTCTTGGGACCATTAATAATGTGGTGATCAGCTCTGACAAGACAGCTGACCTCTATACCAGCGTGACACCCACACCCCCACTGGCATGTTCCTTGGGGCTGGAGAAGCGTTGGTGATTGTCTCCAGGTAAGAACCTTCATGACTTCTCACTTGTCTCAGTCATCATTAATGCTCTTTGTAACAAATCCATCTTCAATCATTCATTCTGCCTAATTCTGAGACTTGCAAATAGGAAACAGTTCATCTTATCAATTGGTTTGAAAAGCCAGGCTGGAGGTGTGACTCAAGCTGGTGAGGCACCAGCTAAGAGCAAGGTCATCCAGCTAAGAGCAAGCCCACGGGGTTGCCAGGTCCTGAGTTCAAATCCTGGTATCAGATGAATTTGGTGATGTATTTGATGGCTACCTGAGAAGAAGTCTGGACACTTAGAGAAAGAGATATTTTTGGCTGGCAGTCAAGTCACCGCCTACCCTACCAATTTGGGTGTTTTTATGGATAGTAGCATACTATGCATTGTGATAGATGGGCTGTTCCATAGAGGGTCACCGGAAGCCCTGTTATAAGAGCATTTAACTTAAACCTACACAGATGGCCACATGCACTTTGCTATGGCTCCAATAAAAATATTCATTAGGCAGGTAGTCTTTAAAGGAGGTGTTATGACACAGGTAAGCGTCATGTAGGGAGAGACAATTTTGAGATTTTAAGGGAAAAAAAGGGCTCATCTTGCCTGGGATGGCAGGAATACCTGTAATCCCAGCACTCAGGAGGCTGAAGTAGGATGGCAAGTTCAAGACCAGCCTGGACTCTTATATACCAAGTCAATGTCTTCACTTACCTGAAAGGCGACTCTTGAGCTTCAGCTTACTGTTGTTCTGTTTGGGGCTTTCTGAGCTCTCCTTGGATTCTTCCTGGGGTTCCTCCATCCCGGGTATCTGAAAGGCAGAGGGCATGGAGCTGGTGAGAGGCTGGTCCATGCCGATGCCTTGTGCTACCCTCTGCAAGAGGTTAGCACAGTGAGGCTGGAGGCGCAGCCACACAGGTGTCATGTGAGGAGAAAAAGGTTCAGCGGCTCATAACCCAGCCCTTCAGATAACCTGCCTAGACAGCACCGCCTCCCCAGCACCATCCCCCACGCCGCCAGGACCACGAAGCTTCCAAACTGGAAAGGACCCCTGGGCTCCTTCCTCTCTCATGACATAGGAGGAACCTTGTCGAGTTCGCCATCAGGAGTTAATGGCAGAGCCGCAGCTAGAGGCCAGGTCTCCCAGCTAGTGGCTCAGGGCTTTGGCTACAATGCAACAAATATGAACTAATCAAACCCAATTCTACAGTTCCTAAAATACAGCCAAACTTGGATTTTTGTGGCAAATAACTACAGGCATGCGTTGCTTAATGACTAGAATATGTTCTGGGAAATGCAATGTGAGGCAATTCTGTCACTGTGCAACTTCATAAGGGATTCAGTCAGGCCCTGGCTGGTCTAGGCCAGTGATCCTGCAAACCCTTGGGATCCAACCAGAGAGGAGATGAACTTGAGATATCGGAGGCTGCCACCACCACTTTGTGTTTTGGGAACAGAACATTCAAACTTAATGCAAATCTCTGTCCTTCAATTGTTTATTTTCCCTTTGTTTAATTTTGATGGTACTGGGATCTGAACCCAGGACCTTGAGTGTGAAAGTCAGGAGCTTTCCCAATTGAGTAATCCCCCAGCCATCAGTTATTTTCTTATTGGCATATATTAATCTTAAAAAGGGATTTCATTGTGATATTTGCATACAACCACAGAATGTGCTTTGGTCAAACTCACTGCTCCCTTACTTCCTTATCTGCTCTCTCTCCTTGGCAAACAATTTTTAATGAATTTCACTTATTCTATTTTCATATATGCATATAAAGTACTTCAATCATGTTCACTCTCTGAATTCTCTCCTTCCCCCTTGTTCCCATCTCTCGATGGTCCCTGTTTTTTTTTTAAACCAATAGAATTTAAAAATTATTTTTTAAAAGTCATCCGAAGGAGTTTCAATTCAACCTGTCGGTTTTGCCCATGTTATATTCTTCACACTCATTTTTTTTAAAGGTCTAGATTTTGCGTATGTGAGAGAACATGGCATTCAGGGCATACTGTTTTGCAGTGAATGTTTTAAAATAAGGAATACACCCTAAAACAATAATTAAAAAGTATAGTAAGAATCTAAACCAGTCACACAGTTACTTATTGGCTCTTTTGTCTTGTATGTAACTGTAGTGTGTGTGTGTGTGTGTGTGTGTGTGTGTGTGTATGCATGTATATGACTGCTGGTGCAGGTTTATTTACACCAGTATCAACACTCATGGGTAATTGATTTCACTAAGATGTCACTAGGCAACAGGAATTTTCAATCCTCATTATTATCTTATGGGCCCACCATTGTCGATGTCGTCTGTCAACGACAACATTGTCAATGACAATTGACATGGGTCTGAACAGCCTTCATTCGGCCTGAATAGCAATTAAGCACCGAGCATCGCCAAGGTTCTGTGGAGGTGCAGTCATATCTATAGACACACAGGCTGTGTGTCCATAGAATCAGACCCCAGAGACAACCCCATGGCTCATGTCCTCATCCTGAAAAAGCCAAACATGCTCAAAACTACAATGTTTAGATTATAAACGGAAACTTACATGTTTGGAAAGTGTTCGTTAAACTTTAGTGTTTGTGTGTGTGTGTGGGGGGGGGGTATCAAACTTTGAGACACAACAAACAATGCATTTCCTCTTTCAAGATTTCAGAGGGAAAAAAGCTTTACATTAAAATAGATAAGACTTACGTTATAGAACATACAAACATTTAAAAAAGACACATGAATTATCCTTTGACAGTAATCATCTGTTGAAAACTCAAGCAATCATGTTATAAGAGAAAATCCCACCTGATTTTAACAGGTGATAAAAAAATTATTCATTGTGTATCAAATACACTTTATAACAATGCATAAAAAAGTAAAGTGATCCTCTAGTAACTCTTCTCTTATGAAGTAATTTATAGCATACATGCCATTGAGAAGCATCTTGTTTCTTCCTTGAATTCAAATCTTGCCGGATAAGGCAAAGGATGAAAGGTCTGAGAATGGGGGAGATGCAGGTCACATTAAGGAAGGGGCAACTGGGAAAAGAAATTCTGACACATGAAACGATGATAATGTCACTTTACTGCATTCAGATTTTAATGTCCAGGTTGAAGGAAAAGCAAGAATGGAATCCTGAAGATAGTTTTAGAGATTCTCCAAGGATATCTTTCCTGAGACCAAGGCAAGCCCAGAGAATACGAGCTGTTTTTGAGGCATGTCAGAGATCAGTGCCAACCCGGGGATGCGCAAACAGAAATAAGGCAGGACTTCTGTTTTGCTTGCTTGAAAAACTTTACAGAACAACCTGTCTCCAGACTGTAAACAGTGATTACCGGAGGCTGAGGAAAGCGCCTGGTGGGTTTTCTTTCTTATTTTTATTCCCCCTGGTCATACCACCTGGCCTGCTAGGCTGCCAACTTTCAGATAAAGGTATTCCCCAGCTTGAATGCCATTATCTCTCCTGGTACCCATTAAATGAGCCGTTTATTACACAGCAGCCAAGGATGATCCCATCAGACATAGTCTGTCTAAGATGTTCATATCTGGGGAGGAACTCCGATCTTGCCTCCTGTCTCTATTTATGGAGTACTCATTACCCAGTCTTTATAACACAGCTCTTATTAATCCCTCAGGGCACCAAAGAATAAAATGAAACTTGATTTCTCTGATCTACAAAATGCTAGTATGGGGGCTGGGAAGGTGGCTCAGTGGTAAAGCGCTTGCCTTGCATACCTGAGGCCCTGGGTTTGATTCCTCAGCACCACATAAGCAAAAAGAAAAAAGCTGGAAGTGGTGCTGTGGCTCAAGTGGTAGAGCGCTAGACTTGAACTGAAGAGCTGAGGGACAGCGCCCAGGCCCAGAGTTCAGGCCCCACGACCGGACCCGCTCTCCCCCCCCCCCCTAAAAAAAATAATGCCAGTAATGCGTTCCAGTACTGGAGTCTGAATGCTGTCCCCTTAAGAGTTTTTTGCTCAAAGCTAGTGCTTTACCACTTGAGACACACAGCTCCACTTATAGCTTTATGCTAGTTAATTGGAGATAAGAGCCAGGCACTGGTGGCTCATGCCTGTAATCCTAGCTACTTAGGAGGCTGATATCTGAGGATCACAGTTCAAAGTCAGTCCGGGCAGGAAAGTCTGTGAGTCTCGTATCTCAAATTAACCTCCAGAAAAATCAGAAGTGTCGCTATGGCTCAAAGTGGTAGCGTACTAGCTTTGAGCAAAAAGAGCTCAGGGACAGTGTCCAAGCCCTGAGTTCAAGCCCCATAACTGAGAGAGAGAGGGGGCAGAAAGAGAGCTAGAGGGGGTAGAGGGGGGGAGACAGAGAGAGAGAGAGGAGACCCACTGACTGTCCTGCCCATGCTGACTTCAAGTTGAGATCCTCAGATGTCAGCCTCTCAAGTAGCTAGGATTAAGACTTGAGCCATTGGCATGGCACCTGGCAAAGGAATCTCAGGAAAGGGCATGGTTCTAATTTAACCTCATAACTAGACCAGTAAGAATGAACTGAGTTATCTTAAGGTAGTGAAAAGTCCACATAGCGGAGATTAACATGGGAGTGACATCTTCTATCAAAACCTACTAAAAGAGCTAGAGTAGGTATCTTAGTCCATTTTATGTTGCCCTAACAGACTTCCACAGACTGGGTCATTAATAAAAGCAATTAATCTCTCACAATTCTGGAGGTTGAGAAGTCCGGCTTTTGGTGGGAGCCCTATTGCTGCATTATTCCCTGGCAGAAGACGGAAGGGCAAGAAACCCAGACAGTGTGAGAACAAAAAGGCCAAACTTGCCAGCTTGCTCTTGCAATACATAATCGAGTCCTACAAGGACAGAGTTAATACTCATCACCTTCTACAGCCTCATCTCCCAAACTCTATTGGATTTGGGATTCAGTTTCCCACACATGAATTTATTCAAACCACAGCAAGAGAATTCTGAATGTAAAGGCGACGATTTCCTCTTGAGCCAAACTGGTTTGCTGAGCAGTCAGGAGGCTTGCAAGCCAACAAGCAGGAAGTGGATGGCTTGGACACATTAGTTCCAGATTATAACAGGAAAGAGCAGCATACTGAGTGTAACTGTGGTTATAACGAGCCTTTCTTTAGTCTTACACTATTGTCTGAGAATGGCTATGTTCTGAGAACCCCTTTGCTGTGTGCACTTTCCCCCCATGCACAGAACAAACGGAACTGTGTGAAAATACCATCTAGTTATTCTAAAATGAACATTCCAGAAAGTTCTCCTGGGAGACCAGTGAAGCAGTTGATATGTTCTATTATTCACAAGCAGCTTCTAGTTCATGTGTCATAAAACAATGGCAGGATACCCTTAGAATCTAACAAAGTTGCCAATTTCCATGTTCAGGTTGGTCCTTGCCATGTTTCTCTGTGTTTGTATCCTGTGAAATTCTCTCTCAATAAAGCAGCAGCTTTAGCTTCTGGTTTTGCAGAGGGTAGTAGTCAGAGTGGCTAAGTATCCAGGGCACAAATCCTGGTGGTACCATATTATTCACAGCATAGGCACAGGAGGTACCCTGCTAAGCTTCAGTGTCCTCATCAGCAATAAGGATCTGTCCTTAAGAAGGAAATCACAGCAGGTAGCTCACGCCTGTAATCCTAGCTACTTGGGAGGTTGAGATCTGAGGATCACGGTTCGAAGCCAGCCCGGGCAGGAAAGTCCGTGACACTCTTTTTTTTTTTTGGGTCCGGTCGTGGGGCCTGAACTCTGGGCCTGGGCGCTGTCCCTCAGCTCTTCAGCTCAAGGCTAGCGCTCTACCACTTGAGCCACAGCGCCACTTCCAGCTTTTATTCTTTTTG